CTTCACATGCGGATATACGTTGATGATGATAGACAGGTAAACAAACGGATCAAAGGTCAAGGTCACTGTGACCAGTGCCTTGTAAGAGGTAAATGTTAACTTCTCGAATAAAAATCAAAGATATTCATTTTAAACTTTGAATACTTGTTCACTAACAAAATTATAATGTATTTTTGTATGACAATTAAAAACACTCTATATTTTTGCAAATTATGCTTTCGAATTTTCTAAAAAATCTCAGAAATTAACTTCAAAAAGTTGTGCACTATAAAATTCTGTTAATTCTGCCAAACAGGCTAATATACTATCAAATAATGAGAAAAGCGGCTCGTACTGCTTCGGAAGTGTTCTTGTTATACAATGCCCTATAAAATCGACTGTTGTATTCACCTTGTACTTCAAAAAATATTTTATATACATATATGCATACAATGATATTATATAGTGTGATCATTTTCATAGTGTCTTTAAATTCTGCTACTTTGATAATATTCTTCTGTCAGCAAGCTTGCTTTCTGTGTGAATTATCATATTACTTTTACATTTTAGAAAGTCTTATAAAGGACTCACACATACAAATTTTCATTGGTAACGTACCATGGAATAACATGAATAAGTTTAGCCAGCGTTGTCGACATGTGTCTTTTACCCGGGAATATGGTTTAAACAGTGGTGTGGTTATTCTAACATGTTCAAGGTTTGTTCTTAACCAGGACTTTACCAGTATTATATCTATTTAATAAATATAACTTATAAAGATATGCCATTACTGACTCGTTCATGGATTGGCTCGAAATATATCACATTAAAAACATTTTGTAAACTAGTTCAGAAAATTGTTAGAAATTTGCTAGACGCTCGGTATATAATATGCTAACTCGTTTGATAAGATGTTGATAATACAGTGTATATCAAATAATTTCAAGTGTCAAAATGTATTCATATCAAGAATAAAACGCACCTTTAAAGCGTTTTGATGATCATTCTAGGGATTATGAGGGACGATATGTTTCCATTCAACTGTGGAAACATACTGGGATTGTTGAGATGATTGATAAATTTCGCAAACAAGCCAGTACTCTTAACATTTATGCGGTTTCTTGTTCACGTTTTATTCAAGGTAGGTGCTTCCCGTGATTGGGATCATTTTCAGCCGGTGTCTTGCCCCTGTGCCTCTTCCTGTTTGGTATCCTGCACGGCTCCTTGCTCCTGTGTTAAGGGTGCCTCCTTTCCACGTTGATCTTGGTTTTCATATTTTGTCCGAGTAGATGCACTTATGAACTTTTGAGTCTGGATCAGGAAAAAATGTAGTATTTTGGTAATGGTTAAACAGACAATAAAAAGTCACATGGTCTCCCTGTCTAATAATTCAGTGTATAAAAGACAAATACTGATTTTACAAAAGCTTGCTCGCTGTCAAATTATAGCACTGTTTTAAATCCTGGTCGTCATAAGTCTGATCTTTATTATTTGAACTTTCTTCAAGTAAGATTATTTTACTAATAGTTTTTTACATAGAAAATGGTTTTCTGTATTGGTGGTTCAAACCATGCATGTTAATTTATTAACTGACGCACACTCATATAATGTTTTTGATTATGCAGTTAACAATATTGTAAAATATAGTTACTTATTTAATCTGAGAGTTTATTTCCCTATCAAGACGGTCCTTAAATCACAGGTAATTTCGTGGTTACTTCACATACGACACGACGTTTTTTAAACATTTGAAACGACTGGCAACCAACATGCTTTTTCTATTCTTTTATACATGTAGTCGCCTCTGTAACTGTTTATAAACGTTTTACAAAACAAAATTGTGAAATAAAATGCAACTATGATTTATTGTACATGTATATGTATATAAAAATATGTATTTTCTGGCGAAAACATTGAACATCATGTGAGAATACCCTAAAGGCAAATGAGCCGCGTCATGACAAAACAGACATAAGGGTTTGCGACCAGCATGAATCCAGACCAGCCTGCGCATCCGCAGTCTGATCAGGAACCATGCTGTTCGCTTACAAACCCTATAACAAGTAGAGAATATGATAGTGAACAGCATAGATCCTGATCAGACTGCGCGGACTATTATGTTGGTTTTGTCGTGACGCGGCTCAAATTATTCATTCAGTGAATTTAGTTGTATCAAATCGCTTTATGCATCTCATATCTTGTGTTAAATCAGTTGCTGAAACTACATTGCCCTGTAATGAAGAACTTGGTATGGCCTCATATGCTATCCAGGATTTTCAAATATCTGCCACATCCACTCATGGCACATACATACCGGCAAATGCACGACCAGGTGGTACAGGATGGCAAGCTTTAAAATCGGACGTTCTTCCATTTATCCAGGTATTACGCTTTTCATGATTCTTCGGGACCATGTTTTAAGAGAACCAGTAGTTGGAACTTTGATACTATCATGTGTAGAAGCTGTCCATCTACGTTGCGAAAGTTCGTTGGCCCCACTTGCGTCTGAAATGATGCAAGGAGTTGTAACCTTGGTCTTCTTCTGTTGCTGGATTGTGTTGTGGTGGCGTTCAATGCCGCCCTTCCTTGATGATCTTGTTCTTCTTATTTTCTTCCTTTAGTGAAGCATGAAGATCCTCAAATGACTTAAATTGTGCTGTAGTGACACAAAATACATTACAGAAGTTCCATTGGCCAGTTGAGTTTGAAATTTGAATTTGATTGTTTGTTGATTATTAATGTGACGCCCCTTAAATTGAAGGTTATCAGGTTACATCTGTTTACATCAGTAACTCTATATTTTCTATTATATGAACCATGTGACCGGAAATTAATTTCCCATAAATCAATTCCGAATTATGATAAATAAATATGTTTTTTCTTTATTATCCTACCTTTAATTTAAATAAATGGAAAGTTTTTTACCATAAAAATGCTTACTAATTTACATTTTACATTTTTACATGTATCTACATGTATCAAGAAGGCATACAGGGAATTTTACCCAGTCATTATTGTCGTTTCCATTTATAAGGTAGATGTACCATAAAATATCTTTTCACACAAAAAGCTTTGTTTTTGTAAAATGATAGCTTGAAATTTTATAAAATTCTAACTCAAGTAGCTGACTATACTGCATGGCATGTTCTTATTTTCGATACAATCTAATAAATTTATTAACGCTTATTGTTCATTCAGTTTGAAAATATGTGGAAATACAGAGTAGACTCATTTTTGTTATTTAGAAAAGAGTTATCAAATCGTCATAATACTTTTTTGTTTTATAGGTTGATCTTTTAGTTCACACTATTGTCAATGGTATAATAGTCTACAACTGGTACGAAATAAACAATGATACAAGTGACAATTTATACCGACTGTACGTAAATGAGAAAGGCTGTCCATCCTTTAGACTTCAGTACGGAACCTCACTGCAACATATGAGATGGTACAAGTTTGAGGTATCATATTTTCATCAAAATCATACCTGATTGGAGAATTCTAAATTCAGAATGATAGAAGTTATACTCTTGAATTAAGTTTGTTTGATTGTTGATATTATTGCTAAGGTTAGATATTATTACATAACACAAATATTACAAGGTAACAATACAGGTAGTATGCATGCAATTTGAAGGCCTAAACAAGTCTTAAATCATCCCTGTCCCATATTTTTATATGATTTAAAAAAATACCTATTTTCCAGATTATAAAGTAAAAAAAGGGAATTTTATGATTTATTTCTGTATTGATTTCATTGAAGAAGCGACACTGTATTTAGACGAATTATCTTGTATTTGTTCATATTGTTAACAGGATTTTAAGTTAGATCTATCACAGTCGCAGGATCTCCCTCAGCAATTCTTCTTCTACAAGTACTTCATCGCAAGATACGTTAGAATTTATCCCTATTTCTTCCTAGGAGAGCCGGCTGGACTAAAATTTGAACTTCTAGGATGCCGTTACTATGGTAACATTACAGTGAATTTCTATTAGAAAAAATGTGAAACAATAATGGTTACCTATTGAACAAGACATGTATTACTTAATTTATTTCTGAATATTTATATTTCTATATTTGCTAAATGAGTACTTTAGTTTTTGTACTGATAAGCTTCTTAACTTACCCGTCAAATAAAGTCTTATCTTTTATGATTTATAAGGAATCAATAATGTTTTAATTATTGTCCTTTGGACATTTGGAAACCATATACGACATATTTTCCTTATCACAAATGATGTAAAAAAAGTAAAATTGTATTTTTTTTCTGAATTGTATTCTGAATAACTTGTAACGATGTATATACGTGTTGGTTTATACATAATTTATTTTAGTTCGATTGTGTAGGAAGCTATAAGCTTATAGACACACTTTCGAATCCGTTCCTGGAACCAACCAGTACTGAGCAATGAGTGTAAAGTTTCTTGCTCAAGGAAACAAAGACTTGCCCCTGACGGGGTTTGAACCCATGCGGCTAGCGATCATGAGATTACTAGTCCGACGTGTTAACCACTCGGTATATACGTGTTATTTATTTACAGTTACGTCACAAGAGATTTTCTTTTCTATTTAATATATCCTTATTATTTTGTAAGCATGCCACTTTATAATATTTCTAGTAATGTAATAGAAACAATTGTTTGTCCCTGCATGATTGCAGTTCCTGCGTGATCGTAACAGGTGACTTCTTGTGTTCGTAATATTGGAGTCAAGGTATCTGTAAGCTCCAGGAGGTGGGATGGTTTTGACCCCTGGTGTTGCTTTCAGTTTCAAATACCTGAGGCTAATCAAAATCATCTTTCCTGTTTCGTTGTCATTTGACCTAAATTATGCACAAACAAGTATCAGTAACAACTGCAAGAAGGTTCAATTAACTTATTGAACTATGAATAACTTATGACCATTGCGCAAAAATACAAAAAGTGTTCCTTTATTACATAGATTGCACAGAGAGAAAAATGTTCTATTCTTATCTTTCGAGTAACTATGTCACATTTATGAATTCAACACAGGTGCTCCTTCAGTGAATTGCAACAACGTCAACATGTCTCGCCAGTATTTCAAAAGTTCGAGTATGTTTGTACCATACAGTGGCTCGCTTGAGCCAGGGTCTATGTCAAGCTTGTCGTGCGAGGAGGAATGTTCCAAAAAGTCAGGAACTTGTACTGGGGTTGTAGTCACAAGTCACGGACCTTTCTGTTATTTAGCTTTAAAAGGTTACAGCTCGAGATACGATTTGCTGGTAAATGAAGCGTCAGCGTATGGTATTTTACATACCGTTTACAAGGCTATGGATATTTGTTGGAATAGTAAGTTAAGTCTATTTAATTTAGACAAAAATATCTAGGCAGTATTATATATCCCCGTCCCGTAATGATTTGCTTTTTAGCGTAGTTTGTTTGTTTTGTAAAATTCAAAAATAATTTGACGTTGATATAATGATGTATTTAGATAATAACCAGATACGTGTTTCCATGAACAGTGACAATTGCAATCGAATCGTGTGTTTTCGATGCCGTTTAGTAAAATTTAAAACGTATATGCAATGATTACACTAAAGTATTAAAAAAGGATAACTTGCCCAAAACGGCAACATTTAAAGTGTTGCATCCTCGTTTAAACTTTAGTCATATGTAAAAACAAATATACAGCTCGGATTGATAAACCCTAAATAAGAAAGAAAGAAGACATAAATATGTTTTATAACTCAATTTCGAAGTCTGAAAAATAGCTCTTTAGCATACAAGAAGGTGGACAACTAATTATTTTCATCGTTAAGAAAGTGTTGCTAACATTTCGTCATGTATATTACATCAGCAAACAAGTTTAACAAAGTTTGTCCCGGCTTAAAAGATACTGTTTTCTGATACACATTAATGGCATAATAATTAATAACCCTTTCCTACTGACGACTTAAAAATCTACCAATACAATTAGTGCCTACCGAGATCAGTCGACACATCTGCCTGATACAAATTTTGAAATTTTGCCGTGAATGGTCATGTCCAGATTGAAAAGAGACATTTTGTCGTTGTCAGGTTGAGCTTAAGAAGTATAATAAGCCGCGTCACGACAAAACCAACATAACGCGTTTGCGACCAGCATGGATCCAGACCAGCCTGCGCATCCGCGCAATCTGATCAGGATCCATGCTGTTCGCTATCAGTTTCTTCACTTGTAATAGAGTTGATAAGCGAACAGCATGGATCCTGATCAGACTGCGCGGATGCGCAGGCTGGTCTGGATCCATGCTGGTCGCAAACGCACTATGTTGGTTTTGTCGTGACGCGGCTCATATAACGTTTTATAATGGTATTTGGCCAATAATTGATACTAAAAAATGTTTATGATGAAATTGCCTAAATTATAAAAGACCGCCCCACTTCTTTCAACACTGAACGCTACCGATACATTCCGAACGACTGATATTTGTTAGAAATGTCGGTGAATCACGTATATATTTTTTATATCTTTGCATAGTAAAATATAAAATTGAACACAACTTTGACATAATGTTAAGTTAATCAAGTTTTGTCTGAACATCATACGCTCTTGTACGGGAAGAATGTAATCTATGTTTTCATATGCAGTTATTACGCAGAAAACAACTACTTTTATCCATTTTTTATTGTTTTTGTATTGTTTGAGTCAATTTTATCCGCAACCAAAAACTGAAATGTAGGTCAAGCTTCATGTTAACAACATGAACAAAGAAGTTTTTGTATGATATTTACGTATTTACTTAAAATTAGAAAATTAATATAAATGTAGTGTAATTGTCATGATTATTATATTTTTAAGCTTTAAACATGTATGTGAATATTTGCTTAACCTTCTATCAATTGCAAAATCGTTTTTCTTCAGTGTGTCATTACGTGGCAATGCAATGCATGAATGTATGAAAAAATACATACAACAATACTTGTTACATTACTGTAACTGTTTTGTACTTTTACAGATGCATTTCAAATGAAATATACAACTATGGATTTACTACCATTCATAGTAGACGATAATTATTTTATACATAGAATCAACATCCCACAGTATGTTTCCCCTTCTATTACGAGTCCGCAGACGATAATCAGTCCAGGATATCCGTTCGCCTACCACACGGACTTCTTTTTTATGTGGTCGATAAACTTCCAAAACGGGTTTGTGTCACTCCAATTCACAGATATAGATCTTAAGGATAAAGTAAGTTGCCATGGATATGTTATCTTATACAATCGCATATTATTTTAAGGTGTGTCAATAACTTTATGCATTAAATGAAATAGCCTTTCTATCAATAATCCATCACTTCAAATCACAAGTATTAGCTTTGAATTTCATCTATATTTCCATAGAAACCCGGCTTTTTCAGCCATAATGTAAAGGCAGCAGCACTTTAATACACCTTAGTCATTTACATTTTCCCTACTGAAAATATGAAAAGTCATATGCCGATATGTATCACTTTGATAGGCATTTAATTGATTATTCACTCCAATTTTCAGGAGGCCTTTCTCCATTCGGAGAAGGGGAATATATTTTGTGAGGAGAATATTTATTTACAAACAGAGGACAAATTATGGTTATCACCATTTGGTATCACTAGAGATACAGTAAATTATCACGCAGACGAGGTTTTCGGACGTATGTACAGTTTCAGGCCATTTACTATTGACAGTGATTACAATGGAAAGAAAACCAATGTTGGATCAGCGGTAGAAAAGTTAAAAATTGTGTTTAGATCTTGTCCCGTTGAGTATTATAAACAGCAGCCAGTTAAAGGATTTAGAACAAATGTTCTAAGTAAAGGTGAGCAAGTATTTTCAGATACAAAACTCCTCAAATTTAACATTTCAAGTGGTTTGACGCGTAAAGCTCATTTTCTAATTAGTTTTGTACCTATTGATATTTGAAAAAGGGACATTTGTTAACAACAATAATGACAATGGCAATAACAAAATTTTATTTGCTTTAAGGATTCCGGTCCATTGAAATATATATATATATATACACACGTTGTTATTAATTGTACATAATATGAGATATTCTAATTTCTTACATATACACGCACTATTTGATCCTCTTAACATTATCTACCAGTATGGTAAAAACCTTTTTAACCCGTATATCACAAATTATCCAAAAAACATAATTTATGTTTTTCTTATACATAGAACTATATGACAACAACTGTTTTGTTATAACAACTATGATATCTGCGTTAATTATTGACTCAATACTCTTAAACTTATAAATAGATATGATAAACATACACACCATATTTGAACATCTTATATTATATTAACATATATTGCCTTTCACTATTTTTGTAATGCTAATTTCTTTTAGGCCAATGGGAGTTGTTCTTACTTTTAATTCAAGTGTACCCTTCGACTTAAACGTTTTTACTGTAAACTACAATAGGATATGTTTTCATGTATTTGAATTATGTTTGGTTTTATTTAGTCGTTTATTGGCTTGGACTTGTATTTTCTTGCAACGCACTGATTTGTTTTAAATCATACTGAAGTGCCGTTACCATTTTAATTTCACTTATAAATTTCTGTTTTGGTGTTAAGTCATACTGACTATCTCAATGTCATATGGCGACATTTTAGCTTTCATTCTGCTGGAGGAAAGCACATTTGCCAATTCATGTATAATAGATAAACAGCTTACTGAAAAAGTAGATGCTTTGGCTCGAGAATCTTAAATTACTCAATCATTAGAGTAAGTGTTACCAAATAATCATCTTAAACCTCGCATAAGTAAACTTATATCATCTGAAGTAAAATCAAAATGGGACAAAGTCGTTTTAACAAACTTATGATTTAAACCTCAACGAGTCTCCATCTCCATCTCTTGTAAACCGTCAGTACAGTGTTAAGCACGACATTGCCAGTCATATTTCAATATGCCAATAAACCAAAACAAACAAACAAACAAACCAAAAGAAACAAAACTTTAAACGAACAAACATTTAAACGAACAAACAAACACCAAGACCTTCCATAGGCTAGCTAGACAGCTTCCACACATTAAAGAGTCAAAGTTCTTGGTGGGATTCGAACACGCAGTGGTGAGACCCAGGTTACATTAGCCGTTCAGTCATGAAGGTTCCCCTACTCATACTTAAAGCAAAATTATCATATCTAACAACAATAATGTTTGAAATTTAATTGCAATTTACTTAAAAGTATGTGTCTATGTTACAGATATAATGTCGTGCACGATGTCTGAGTACGAATGCAAGTTGTGGTCGATGGAAATAACTTCCAGTAGCTTTATCGATGTAAAAATGTCTAGAGACTCCGAAATTTGGGAGATATATCTTGATATTGATAAAAGTTCTTTTAGATTTATTCTAATCACCATAGAGGAAATGCAAATAACATGTTTTTCAGGTATCAATTTTTAATTTTTAAATTAGTTATTGAATAGCCATAAAATCTGCAAAACATATTTAAGTTTAGAACAGAAACGGAAAGAGGAAATGCCTTTCAAATAAAATTTTATACAACATATGCATTTTTAAAGATTCTCACAAACTTTATATTTCTTAGAATCCAAGCTTACATTTGAAATTTTGTCTTTTCAGTAATAAATATTTTTAGTGAGGTATTCAATTTTGCTACAAATTTCGTTTTCTATTTTTGACAATACTGTTGCCTTCGAAAAGATGCTTGTCTAAGACAAATAAAGTATTTACCTTTAACTTGGCCAATGCTCTTTAATCAAAAGTTTGCCAGCCATCAGTATGGATTTAGGTAAGCAGTCTGATCAGGCTCTCTTTGTTAAGCTCAAATTTAAGTATTTCATTTTGCAATCTCTTCAACTTCAAACGAATGTCCCATATTTAACCCCTTACCAATCAGGCCAGTAATTGGGTTATAATCCCATTGGTATTGAAGGTAAGTCTAAAATGTTTTTATGATCCAATTCATCAGAAAACAACACCAGCAACGTATAATTCTAGCGAAGCAAAGTCTTCGTTCTCTGTTATTTCTTCATGACATTGACCATGTCAAAGTGGGCCTTGTATTTGATACATTTTAAAGTATATATAAATCTTAATTAAAGGGTCAACCTTAACAATTGACAAGGATTACTGTAATATGAAGTCAACGGTAAAGCCCATTGAAATGCGGATAACGACCATAACAGTAGTTTTCAAAATCCAGCAATATTGCCCTTGGTATCAAGATGTAGAAGGGTTTCGGCTGAGATATGAATTTGGGCGTACTTTGCAATCGTTTACGGATGCTTTTTCCGGGACAAAAGGTAATTTGTATGGGGATTTACATAGCACTTGCACTGAAAATGTCCAGTTTATCATATGGAGGAAGATCTCTGGTGCACATCCGTTAGTATTTCAGGCATGAGCGGGCACCTAAGTTACACCACCGACCTTCCGTCACAGAATGTAATATTGCAGAACATTTGCAGAAAATACGATGTTTCAAGACAAAATAAAGGCATCAGTTATTTTTATTCCGTTTCGCAAATTTAAGCAAAATGTAAAATATTTTGCAATTAAAGTAGCAAAATGTTAACAAATCAATATCTTGAATTCCAATAAAAAAATACTAATCAACTATAACGCTTCATACTGTAAAAATGCAACGGATGAAAACGATGGGTTAGATAACTGGCCAATGCTTAACATTGTGAATACTATGAAAGCACACCAAATAGAAACAAACTTTAAGAAATGAAGATAAAAGAATTTTTCTGTAACGAAGCATTTGTTATGACATGTATGACATTCTTTCTTCATGTGCATTTTATATTTATATATACATGTACAATTATTTCAATAAGGTGATAGACAAGTACCCTTAATGTACCATTACCTTTAACGAGTTTTAAATTAAAATGTACAATTTTTTTTTAATTAGTTTGTAGTGCCGAGTTTAAAAAATGCTACAACATTAAGCAGTCGAATAATGTGGAGTCAACTTGGACAGAAGCATTTGAACTATGCAAACAATCGGACAGAGCGCTGGTCAGTTTTGGTTCTCAACGTGAAATGCAGTTTGTCAAGGAATATGCAGCAAGGAATAATAGAAAGGAAACTACGAATGTCTATATAGGTACATCTGGCACTAAATGTTTCATTCTCTATAATATATTGATTGCTTTATAGAATGACAATGGACAAGGAAGTTCTTTTTAAAAAATGAAAGTATAATTCTCTAAACTATAATTAGTATATATAAATGAACACTCCCAATCAACATTGATAAGGATAAGTACAAAGCAATCTGAGCGTTGGAAGTCTTATCTTAAATAACCTTAAATGTTTATTATAATTATGTTAACATATAGTATCTATTAGGTATACAAAATGGAGAACAAAAATATGTGTGAACAGTTGCCACATTTTTATGACGAAGCATAGTAAAATGTATATTTAAATAAATATTTATCAAGGACAATGCAGTTTTCTATTTGATATATATTATGTATTCAAATACATGTCTTTCTAGGTAGAGTTCACATAGTGCACCTGTACTTAACAAGTTATCACACACATATAGCTTGTACACAATATCTTATAACGTCAAACAATGACGTCAATTAAAGTTTATATAAACCTCATATGTTTTACATATTTTATTTTGAAACAGCATTCAGACAGTAATAATAAAAAAACTTTTTTCATTTTCTAAGGACTATTTCGTTATATGAACGCCGAATCAGTTATAAATGAACAATGGATTGATGGAAGAATGCTGTCCTTTACGGCTTGGTATGTATTATATATAATGTAGATATAAAAACAACAGCGAATGGAACTAATTGTTAATTCATTGAATACAAGCTGTATTAACAATTTCAAAATCACTAAAAATGAGAACAAAGATCATCAAGTTAAGGAAAAGTTCGTTCACAGAACGCAGCCCCAACACATCCACACCAGCAGGACACCAATAAGACACTGAACTAAACACGCGGGAGGAAACAAGAGCAGCGAAGAGAGGAAATGGAAATCTAATAAGTGAATGATTAAGTTTGAAAAGCCCGCTTTTCATTGCCGTTTCACCAGACTATACACTGTTTGATTGATTCATTTAAGCAGCATGATATCAAATAACATGGACAGTTCAAGATCCAAAATATTTCGAATCACTTTTGGATACACGTTTCATGTTTATTGAACTGATTTATTGCTAGCCACGAACTTTACACACATATTTTGTGGTGTTTTTCATAACAAACAACATATTTGGCCGTGTCTTTTAATTGTAATGTTTAAACGATATAAGGTCTTAAAAGGTACAAAACATTCATTTCATGATAAAATTTCATTATGTAATATGTTATTTGACTAGTTTTCTGTTTTGACTTCAAGGGAAGATTATCAACCCGAAGAGGTATCCAGCAAACAATGTACTTATATGACTTTTACAACCCTTCGTTCACTGTCATCTTGGAGAGGAATAGACTGTAACCAGCCGTTATCTGCATTTGTAGTGTGTGAAATATATTATATGAGTGAAAATGAAACAGGTATGCTATCACATTATTTATTACATATCTGTTATATGTAGACGTGGGATATTTTGTCGACAATAATACTCAATAAGATCTTGTATTTATTAATGTTCTTAGAAGAAGAACAGTTAGACAATTAATAAATTGTCATATTTATGGTAATAACATTCCAAAATTACAGCAATTAAAAATTAAAAAAATAAATACCAGGTTGGTAACAATGTCTTTGAGAGAAAAAATGTATAAATATCTAAGTATTTTTAATAAAAAAAAATAACTACTAGCATCAAGAGTGATGTTATTACTTTGAGGGCAGAGAACTGGTCAGTTTGCTAGGAAAATATGCAAGCCCACTCCCACTTACCAAATCTATGAAAAATGTTTATTCGAAATACTCATCCATCGTACCACTTGCTCTAACTGTTCAATCAACACCAGACACAAAGGACAAAAGACAATTTTATACAAAGCACAATGCACATATACCTAACTAATTATACCTGTCTTAATTCTAATCATCATATTGTGGATTACAATAGGCATGTCACCACAACGTTTAACATACTTGCTAACAGAAGAGCACATGCTTGTGTTTGGTTACGTACTATCTGTTGTCATACACATAAAAGGTCAAAATAGAGATTTATCAACAGACTTAGTTTGGCCTAATTCCCTGAAGATTACTTATCTACATATATTAAATTTATGTTATGTCGTTTCATTATTGTAAAAAAACAAACAATGACAATTAGGTGTTCTATGACAATAACAAGAGAATTTATTTTTAGAAATCAAAGGTGAATATGATGTCAAGCTAAATGAGACGAAAGACAATTCTTCCGGCTTTATTTCGATAACTACAGGATGCATTTGCCATGCCACGGAGATGTCAATAGCATGGTACTATAAAATGGTAAGCCACATATAAATAGAATTAAACTTTTTTTTTTCTTCAGGCCCCACATCCGGTAACCCCATTTATTCGCTTCGTCACATAACCATTTGTGGGTCGAAGCACATCCCACAGTGGTTTTACAATTATTTATTTTCATGCATATAAACGGGTATACCAGATGTGAAACCAATGTAATGAAAGAAAAGAAAAAACAAAATCAAAAAGAAAAGACAAAAAAAACACACACACACAAAATAACAACAACAAAAACACAAAGAGACAAGGCCGACACATGCATTCACATCCGCACTCATAACCGTATTTTTAATAAAAATAGTTTCAAAAGCATCAACATTATATAAAATCTAATGCATGCTATTTTGGCTTGAATTATTTCTTAATTACTTAAACTCAAAACAATACTTTTCAGTGTAGAAATAAGATTTTCTCAGCTGACATTTTTCTTTTTAAAATACAGACATAAATTTTCTAAAAAGACTCCAAACATTATCAAACTTTGGTAATCTATTATTTATGATTGCTACCTCTTTATCAGTCTTGAGCTTTTGTGTTATAAAGTTTTTGGCTGCAATCATTGATAAAGAAAGATCAAGCATTTTACACTGATAAACATACATTTTAAAGTATACTAAAAATAAGTTTTTTGCGTTAGATAGATCATCCTTTGCATTATAGCCAAACATCATTTCTTTTATACCCAAAGATAAAAAAGGTTCGCTTTTCATTCTAAGAAATTCATTTATAATTTTTTTGACAATGGGACACAGCCAAAAAAGATGCTCAATGCTTTCAACATCATTACTCCAAAAAGAACATAAAGGACTTTCTTTATACTTAATTTTGTATAAAAGATGATTGGTTCCAATAATCCTGTATAAAATTCTTGTTTGGAACCATTGCAACTTGGCACATTTTGTAATTCTAAAAGGCATTTCGAATATAATTTTCCATTCATGTTCACTAAAAGCTATGTTAAGGTTTTATGTCCTTTGTTCGATACTTGTGGGGTTTGATTTGTTTTTATTTAATATACTAGAGAAAGGTTTTGCTCCATTTATGTCTGATATAATATCTTTTAAGTACAGCGGTATAACTGGGCCAATGCTTTTCTGTGGTGTGTTATAGATTATATTATGTTTATTTTAAAAATTGTTTTACTGATAAAATCATACCGTTAAAAATTAAGATATTAGATAGGACATTGTATCTATTTATAAAATCATTATAAGATAGAAACTTTCCATCAGATGCTATCAGATGTTCTATATTATAAACACCAGCATCGAACCACGATTCTAAATATACGCTTTTTGAACCAATTAATATGGTATTGTTATAAAATAAAGGATGTTTTTCGAAAGAATGATTTTCGATTGGAATTAATTTTATATATCGTGATAAGGCTGTAAAGGTGTCCTTCCAAAAAAGAGTGTTTGTTTCTTTTGCAAGTTTATCAAAGTAATGGTTTCCGCAGTGAAAAAAAATTTGCATATCTATTTTATAAACATTTTATTTAATACACTGATTACATCCAGGGGCGTACCTCGGCTTATTATGAGTGTACGCCGAGTGCCTTTTTTTTTTGGCCGAAGGATCGCCAGAGACTTAAATATCAAATAAAGCTGTGAGCTATAACTTAGGATTTAGGGGATATTCAAGCTAATTGTACTACTATTGTGTTTATCTATAGTTAAAGTAACATCAAGTACATATATTGAATGTAAGAGAAATAGCACGAAGTCTAACGTGTACACTGTTTTAAATAGTTCAAAGTTATTTGCTTTAAGAAAAACAAAACATAGCCAGGTATCTCTCTTGTAAAAAAGATGGGGTTTATTTCCTTTTGTAACAAGTTTAGTTTTTTCTTTGTTTTTTTCTTTTGTTTCACCATAACTTTACGTGAGATATAATCAAGGAAAATATGTTTTAAAATGATCTGTATGACTTTAATACAAACACAACAGTTTAAATGTTTAGTGTAACGAGATTTTATCGTATTCGCAGTTAAAATGTAGTATCGCACGATCATTTAGCTTCCTTTTAAAATGCGTATTATGTCAATGTTGTAGACAATAAATATTTTCTTCAACATTTTTGTTCTCAACTCTAGTCTTTCAATTTCCATTCGAAATATTTAAGTTATTTCATTACGAAGTATATATATATGATACTAACTTAAAAATAATATACTGATTTATAGTTACAAGGTAAAATATAAAAATACATTCCATACAGCTTACATACTCCCTTCCATTGTCCTGCAAACGCCAAGTTGCAAACCAAATATTTATTTTGCATATAGATCTAGATGTAATAAATGAAATAAATGTTTACTTTTCACTGATCTGATTCTTCTGAAAAAAAAAATTGTAATATATTGGACAATTTCTTATCCTTTTTGGATTTTGACGAGGTTTATTAGCATTATAACGCTTAACTCAAGCTGAAAAAAGAGAAAATTCCACAAAGAACTTGTTTATATCATATGTTCACTCCATTTCTTCATAATTAAAGTTTTGATTGTGCATAAAAAGGTAACGCATATTCGAATTAGGCATGCCTGTAGTATCAATTAGCAGCTACGAATACGTTGATCAATCTACGCCCAAATTAATGATTTCATTTTTTTTTTCTAAACTTTTTCTTATTTTTTTATACGCCCGTGCGTATTGGCGTATCGGTAGGTACGACACTGACATCTTCAGAAGGGTTTGGTAGTAAAATGAATAAATGATTTACAGATGAAATCAAAAGAGATTTAATAACAGCAATTTTACCTATTGGTGTGTAAGTTTGAATATAAAAAATCAACTCCAAATTCAATTTAAAAATGTAATTATTTTATTTGAAAAATATACAACGTTTCGACTGAAAAGTCTTCATCAGGTATACTTTATTTACAGGAAATGACGTCAACGTCATATGACGTCAAGGACAACGACGTCAAAATGTAATTCATAATTTGGCGTATAAATGTAATATGTAGGATTTTAATAAAAGATACAAAGCAGTGGTGAAGATGCAGTAAAAAGCAATGTTAAATTAGAAAACCGGCATAAACTACATATTGACATGAAATTAGTTTTAAGTCATATTAAGCAAAAAATAGAAAATACATTTTTTTTAAAGAAATATTAAAATGAAGAATTATAATCTACAAAATTAATAAAGAATTTTAGAATTCATGCCATCAGGAATAATTGTACCTAGCTTGTACATCCATGAAGTTTCTTTTAATTATCTTTGCCAATTATTCTTTACTTTATCAATTGGCATGAATGAAAAATCTTTGATAGAATGCCCTTCAGAATTAAAATGTTCAGATACATTGGTAATAGTGTCAGTAAAGTGTTTAATATCAAATTTAATATCAAATTTGTGACTATTCACCTATTGGTGTGAGAATTCTTCTTTTCCAATTTTGAATAACCTTCGGATATTTTCTATTCTTTCGCTTTAGTTTAAATCTATAATTTTACTTAAGTCAACATGAAAATGTATGCCTTACATTTTAAATCGATGTTGAGATTCAAAGACAATTTCCATCTTGTTTTTATACTGTTTTGAGAATATTTCATTTTCCCTATGCACACAACCTTAGTTTTATCAGAGACATAGACAAGAAAAGCATTGATGCAAAGCATCAAAGGGCGTCCAAACAGCAGGTGCAGATGAACGAGTAGATATATGATGACAAGATATTCTTATAAACTTTTCAATGGTTCATTGGGTTTTACCAGAATTGTATATCACTTTTGAATGAACGGACGAAAGACATTGTTCATTATTTATAACTTTGATCGGCATGCTAGAAATTAGAATATTACTTGTTATTTCTTTATGATCGTGGTTATTAATAGCAACGGATATACATGTATACAATCATTTATAATCCATATGTGTAACGCATGATCAACACCATACTTGTGTAATTGTCCCTTATTATGTTATCGCTATTAGCGAGGACCCCCTCTTAAGGTATCTGTTCACACTAAGTAACAATATGACACTTGTTATATTACCATGTTGATCATGTTGAGCATAATTGTTATTATACAATAAATGTAATTTCTATTTTAATAAAAAAAAATACAGATTTTATGAATATTGTTTTCTTTTTTTTTTTGTGTGTGTTTTATGCGCTATTTTAATACTGAGTTTTTACGTTTACTACTATTTTAAAAATTCAATTGTCATAATGATCGACGATTATAAGTCAAAACTTAACTGGAAAAAGTCAGTAAATCATGGTTAATCTTTCAATATATAATATTGTTTATTCTTAAACCATATACATGTACATTTGTATTTTCTTTATCATTTTTTAAATTATCAATCAATTGAATAATTCATAAAATCTGATTTGTAACTTTGAATAATTCCTCGGAATCTTTACTAATCACGAATAACAAATTAAATAAAATGTTTTTAAGTTGATAGTGTCATATTAATGCCATAAAAATGTACATTTTTTCTCAATTATTGTACATATTTATTGTTTTTATCTCATATATAGATAAAATATAACATGCGATTTGTGTTGTTGGTTTTTTTTTCGAATTGTATGTTTATGTATAATAATAATCAATCAATTCGAGAGTTGATCTGTGTTTATTAATTATTGTAACCAAACTAAGTGACAAACATTCATTTTGAAAAAAAGCTTATTTATCTGTAAAATATTTGTTCTGTTCTGTAACGATATCAAACATCTACTCCAAAACCGGGAGAGACCGGACAATAAACGTGTGGTACTATTCGCCGGTCATTAGTAAATCCCGGGAGAGACCGGGAATTACCGATATGAGTACATCCCTCTATAAATAGATTTTCGGAATATTTAGGTCATCAACTCATCATTCTATTAACAGCTTTCGGAATAACATACCATAATAACCCACTGTGTACTACAAAATGATAAGCAAAAATACCCCGAAGAGCGCGATTTATTGACGGAAAAGGTTATTTCATTTGAAAATGTTTGCATTGCGAAATTCTCCAGTTCGCCATTCATTGTACATATCGTGACTAATTAATAATCAAGCACCCTCATACCGATCGGAATGATCGGCTTTTATTATTGACAACTATAAAAGGCTCGAGAAGTTGCTGTCGCCCTTTCACAAAATCTCATTTCATTCCAATAGGCGCCGCGCTTCGGCGCGGACGCCAATAACAGAGATGAGCAGCTCCTATATACTCCATTGAAATATCACTCACGCCTATCAAAAAGTGCAAAATTTGGCATTTTGTAGCAAATAAAACTTAGTGGATGTTCATTTGATCCTTTAATATTATATACCATTTGAAAGGTAAATCTTGTATCTATTGCTGCATGTTAAAATATTGGTAACTTTCCATGCCTTTCACTTAGAAAAACATAACAGAACATACCCTGTTTTTCCGTCATATGAATAGTTTTGTAACAAAAATGATTAAGTAGTTCTCTTTAAAAATTGATGTATCATTTATTATCCCCCGCCGAAAGGCGGCGGGCGATATATTAATAGTCTCCGTCTGTCTGTCCTTCCGTCCTACCGTCCGTCCGTCTGTCCGTCCATCCATCCATCCATCCGTCCGTCCGTCCGATCTTCCGTCTGACATTTTTGTTCGGAGCATATCTCAAAAAGTATTTAAGGTATCAACCTGAAACTTCATAGGTGGATAGATCATATTGAGCTGGAGTGCAGTGCACAAGAATGATAACTCCATTCTGCATAATTTTTTAGTAATTACCCTCTGTTATTTTTCAAACTTAATTTTTGTCCAGAGCATAAGTCAAAAAGCCTTTGAGATATCATCATGAAACTTCATGGGCGGAAAAATCTCACTCAGGAGGTGTGCAGTGTACAAGAATGATAACTCTACCCTTCATAATTTTTTAGTTATTTCCCTTTATTATTTTTCATACTTAATTTTTCACCTGAGTGGAGCATAACTCAAAAAGACTTTGAGATGTCAACATGAAACTTCATAGGTGGATAGATCTTATTGAGGAGGAATGCTGTGCACAAGAATAATAACTCTACCCATTATATTTTTGAGTTATTGCCATTTGTTATTTTTCATACTTTTTGTCCGGAGCTTATCACAAAAAGTGTTAGAGGTACCAACTTGAAACTTAATGGGTAGATAGATCATATTGAGGAGGAGTGCGGGTAACCTACCCTGCATTATTTTTCAGTTACTGCCCTTTGTTATTTTCAGCCATCAGTATTCACATAGGTTTAAAATCTGTATTCACTTCAGCCATCAGTTTTCATTACCAAAATACCTCGTTAGAATGAATTATTCTGCTCTACTACATATACATTCTTACAATGAGCGAACTCATTCGGCGGGGGGTGGCCATGCTAACATGCCTCTTGTTTAAATGGGAACGGTATATATTTTTACCTGCAGCCATAGACAAATGCATAAGCTTTCAGAAAATGTATTTTTTTACTGATTTTTATATCTGGTTAATAAGTTTTACTTGCTACAAGTTTTAAGTTTAGCAGGCACGCGTGATATTTTAACTGGCCAGGAAGTTGCCAATCTCTGTTATCTATGTCTCTGGTTTTATCAAAATTAACATTATGTCCCGATAGTTGTGCAAAATCTGACAAGATTTCCAAAGCTTTATTTAAAGACGCACTTGATCCATCTAAAATCATCACTGTTGAGTCATCTGCAAATTGTGACAATTTATGTTCTACATTGTTAATGTTTATTCCTTTAATAATCTTATCATTTCTTTTTTTTGAAAGCTAGAACTTCAGCACATAATATAAAAATATAACATGAAATAGGATCTCCTTGTCGGCAGCCTCTTAAAAAAATTAAACTTAATGTTTTAACACGTGCACTGCCTTTTCAGTAAAGTCGAAATTCGTGTATTAAATGTATTACAGTTATATTATCCTCCTGACATGAGAACGTTAGAAATGTCACATGTGATTATTTCATCTTTCAAGAATCAATGAAAAGAAATAAAATATTGAATATTTGCGTGTATTATAAAATATTACAAACAAGATCAACAAGGAAGGGGCGGCGTTCATTGAAAGCACACCCGCATGAACCATCAACATATGAGCTACGTCATAACAAAACCAACATAGTGTGTTTGCGACAATCATGGATCCAGACCAGCCTGCACATCCCCCAGTCTGATAAGGATCCATGCTGTTCGCTATCAGTTTCTCTACTTGTAATAGGGTTTGTAAGCGAACAGCATGGATCCTGATCAGACTGCGCGGATGCGCAGGCTGGTCTGGATCCATGCTGGTCGCAAACACATTATGTTGGTTTTGTCATGACGTGGCTCATATTATGATGATTTTATACATTTTTAGGAATGAAAACAGACATTGTATTATGTTCACTTGATTATGTTATAATAAATTTAAACAATATCGGATCTGCGAGTTGTGCAAGTGTTGTAATAACCTAAACACTGTTTCTCAAAACTTTATATATAATAAAGTCACCAATGCATGTGCATAATTGTTTTATTACAGTTTTTGCGAAAATTATCAGTAAACCATTATATAAAAACGGTATTTCCTTCATTATCTGCGAATGCTGACAGATTTTTTTCATACAGTTTATACTTATTTATACGTATTTAGTTAGTATTCTTTACAGAGTAGTATGAAGATGTCAGTTGACTTATAATGAGAAGTACAAATACATTTGTACTTTCTATTGATATTGTTCTACATACTTTCAGGGCGGCGACAATTATCCTTTCAGAAGTATGGCTCAACAAGGATATTTTAGAACCTACAAAGAATGTCACCTGGACTGCCATGGACTTCAAGCTGCCGTGTTGTCCACGGGTTTTTATTACTCAGAGTTAGCTGATGGCATACCAGTATATCTGCACGTTAACTTAAGTAACAGTTTCTACAAAAACAGCATAAAAACCATAGTATCAAATAGAGTGTATAAGATAAAAGGTTTGACTTTACATATGGTGATAAATATAGATTATAATTTCATCGGCAAGATATATTAATAACAAATTATTTGGTCCCCGCAGAAATATATTTGATAAACCTCATTCATTGACGGAAAATATTCTTCTTATAAATATATATATCGGCTATTATATATACAGCATTTTGCTGACGACCAACTTACATGGTATAGTATAGGGATTATACAGTAATTTTTAAGTTTTAAATTTACTTGTAAGCCATACCCGTCTCTTATTTTTACTCTTTCGATTATTCACTCTTATTTAAAATATAACGCTTAATTAGTATAGACTGCAGTTAATTTTAAAACTGCGGCGACTTTTGATATGTATCTTATAAAATATATTCACGCTGGATGATTCTTTTCTTCACACATCTAAATGTTCTGAAAATTTACTTATCAAACATGAAAATGTATTTTCAGATGAAATTCAACAGAAATCTACGTTCAACACTTACTCTACATGGAGTTGTGGGAATGGTGAATATGTATCAATATTGGCCAGATGTAATGGATACGTCGAATGTTCAAATCAACAAGACGAACTTGATTGTGAAGGTATATAATATCTTTTGACACATCTCATCTACTTATAAATGGTATATTGAGAAATATTGATGAAATAAAATGTGTTTATTTTTATTTTCTGTATTTTCCCTGTATTTTTTTATCACTGCAGTGAAACATATTAATCGTTTTTTACTGGTGTCTTGCTGTACCACATTCTTCTAAATTCAGTCAATTCTTCCTATTCATAAGCTTAAGAACGAGAAACGTTTATTATAAACAGAAAACTCACTTTTTTCTATAAATACAGGATTTATTTTACATTATCTTGTGATATGAAAATTATCATATCTCACTCCTGGCTATACTGCCACACGTGAAATATTTATTTTTATATTACTCGATGAAAATAAATCCTGTATCATTTATAGAAGAAACTTGAATATCCTCTATATATTATCACTTTCTAATAAAAAGTTTTGAGAGTGATTCAATAGCATAATCAAACTAAATCTATTTCGTATAAACTAGTTTTACTCAAATAGGAACCTATATACAGGATTTATTTTCATCGAGTAATTTCATCGATCAATAGAACATTTGACACCACGTACTTACCTGTATAAGTTTTACTTTAATTGTGCTTGAATTATTTTGCTCTTGTAGATGCAAAAATCTAGTATTTTAAAGAAACGCCTTATAATCATATATGAGGGTTAACACATGTGGTATTCTTCTATATTACTACACACAGCTGCTGTATGAATTTTCATACTTGGACCTTTAGATTAGATGTTTATTAAACATTTATTTCTCCAAAACAACAACATCAACAACAACAGCGACAGCAACAGCATCATATATTAATAATAAGACATTAAATATTCTAAACATGCTAACCCTTGTTTGTATCTTTGAATGTTTTTTTTTCTTGATAAGGCAAATGCAACAATGATCATTTTCAATGCACTGATGGAAGGTGTATACATGTGTCACAGTTATGTGATTTTACCACTGACTGTTTAGATGGCGCTGACGAGTATTGCGGTATGTTATCATGTATAGCATTATAGATATATGTATATTCTTGTTTTATGTTTAAGCAATTTTGCAAAAACTAAAAAAAACATTCATTTCAACAAATTAACTCATATGATTCTTTTGATATTTATATTTTAACAAATTTAAAGAAACACAAGACTATTAATGACATGCAAATATCATACTGTACATATTAGATAAAATCTTAGACTGAGCCAAACTATAAGGACAGTAAAATTGAACTTAACCGCAGTGACTTTGACGAAACAGAACATCGTAAGAATCCTGAGTGTAATGTTTATATCAAATTAAGACCTCAATCCGGTTGCTCGTAAAAAACAAATCTGAAATAAAAGGTTATACCTAATTTAAAACACGATAATAAATCCTAGGACGGAGCAGGAGATGTTTTCTTGCCATACATTAAAAGGGGTGTTAAATTTTTTTTAAATCATAAGTCATAAACAATAATTATATTATTTTACATGAGAAGAAGGAGTTTGTTCCAGTGAGACCTCATTCCGATGCCCAGAAGGACGTTGCTTACCTTTGTCAAAGAGGTGTGATGGGTATAAAGACTGTTTAGACGGGTCGGATGAGATATTGTGTGGTAAGATTTTTCTGAAAATAAAATAAAAACAAACCAAGTTTGCTATTGTATATTAGCAGCTAATTAGTTGTAGGATGCGCAAATGATGAAACTCAAACGCATTTATGTATCATGTCTTTAAAGATGAGGATGTTGAAGTTTTGAATTTAGAAAAACCACTTATAATGTGTCAAAAATCCAACGAAGAAATCTGTCAATACTTTTTAACTTGCCGTCATAATATTTGATACTTTTGTTTCATGTTTCTAAAAGTTACATCTACATGCTTATTGTTTTATTTGATTTAGTACATTTTGGTTTTCGGTGAAGGTTATTTAGTTATCTTTGCAACAAGATGTTTGTCAAACAATTTACTGAAAATGTGCTTAAAATAACAAAAATGTATATATTTATATTGAAACCGAGATATGGAAAGATGAATAACGTTTTTTCTTCTTGTTTTTGAAGAAATTAAGATGATTAATAGGAAAAGCTGTCAAAAAGATAATGTAATTTTGTATACAGACACACATTGTTAAAATGAGGAGCAATTATGTGCAATATTTTTATTTTGTCAAAGAATTCATATCTAGGATAAAATGAAAGAAAGCATTTGTCTCATGATAAGGGTATCCATATCTCAACCCGCAAATCATGGGTTCAAGCTCTACTAAATGCATTATATCATAAGAGAAACCAATACTGGTTTGACTAGGATGCAGGCTTAAAAAAGTAAGTTGTACCATCACGCTTTTCTATCGATATTAAAATTTTGATCAATAAAACACGTTTCAACAAGGTGAAAATATCATATAATTATTTAAAATCGACAAATGTTAAAGATGTGTTTAAATTCTTATTACAGAAAGTTGCAATTCAACAACAGCCTTTCAATGTCGTGATAAGACATGTATATTACACCGTCTAAAATGTGATAAACACAAAGACTGTGGGGACGGTTCTGATGAGGAAACGTGCACTGAAAAACCGTTTAAATCGTGTGATGACGTTTGGGAGGAAGGTCATACAGAATCCGGATTGTATATCATCGGTGGGTACAATGATTTTTGTTGTTGTCAGTTTGTATTTGTGCATCATAGTCATAGATTGTTTTCATGCTCTGATTGACTTAAGCGTCCTCCCGAAACTTTTATTCACCGAGAGCATTTTGACTTTGGTCCTACATATGTCTTGAGCATATAATGTCCGTTTCTTACAATACTATATGTCAAGTGTGGCATCAAGATGATCAATTGAAGGAAATATAGAAACATGAACATATCAGACTCGGGATAAAATGAGAGATAATTTAAGATTTCTTAATTAAACTAGTATTTAGTCTCAAGTATATGTTGGAATCAATTTTTCAAAAGGACAAAGATCTATAGATGAACACAGTAATAATTTTACACTGTGCAAGCACTATACACCTACTATTATTAAAATTAAATGTCTGAGAATAAAGGAGATCCCATTTAATTTTAGAGTTGAATATACTGAGCTTATTTTCATTGTATTCCCGAAATAAACGGGCATAATCAATATTAAATCCGGATTTGTCTGTTGCAGATGAAATGGAAGTAAAATGCGAGTTTGACAAAAAAATTACAAACATGACGTTTCTCCATCCGGACTGGGAATGCTTCGAAGTACGTATCGGTCGATTGTTAGTGCTCCTTTGCACGTCTTTCTAACTCTTACAATTTCAATATGTAACTTTATTTTCATAAATAATGAATTCCCAAATAAACCTGTATGAAAGTCATCCAAATAAACATTTTATTTGATCTTCAAAATAACAAATATAAGCATTTTTCTCGTATTGCATACATCCTTAGAAATTAAAGTTTAAGACAAAAAATAAAGAAAAACATAAAACCAAATACGATATATGTTACAAAAGTCACCGTCATTTATTCTTTCACATATTTATTCTTTCACACCTAACATCTACTTTAGACATATATACTCTTAAGATAACCTTTCACTTGCAAAATTGCTCAAGATAAGTCAACATTGCATTAGATCCACATAGATGTTCATCAACAAATGTTTTTAACTGTCGTATCGCCACCTAAGCGCGGCAATAAAGATGAAAAAATTAACCCGTTATTGCACTAAAATAGCGAAAACCGGAATCCCCTAGGAACGAAAAAAACAAAACAAAAAAAACATGACAGAATTAAAAATGTTGCAGGCTTAGTTTGATTGAGCCTGTTCATGGATGGTAATGGAAAGTTACCGTTCATAGCCCCTGCGTCGCCATAAGCAAAAATTCAACATATATTGAACTGATAAGCTGACGATATGTATTTCTAAAATAATCTTTTAATTTGTAGTCAACGCCCCAATTTCAATTCGGAAAACTAAAAATACACCCAATTGATTCTGTTAAACATGCTGCAAGAGAAGGTTACGATTGCTCACTGAAGGTAAGTTATATTTTAATTAGATAAAATCTTATTTTACTATCGATAATGTGATAATTTGGTATAAATTTGGAAAATTGGTGTTCATGTATATTTTAACTGATATACAAATACTCTAACATTACATTAAAATCATTGCATATTTTTCATATTTCTTTTGCTTTAAAGGCGCATCGAATTTGTTAGTTGTGTACAAACGTTAAGAACGTTTTCAAAATTTTCAATGGAAACTTGTATTCTACTTGAACACCAGATTAAAAGTTTTTTCAATGCGACAGCCAACAAAATAGACTGGTTGCGTTGTCCTAGTATATTGCACTGCATAGAAATAAAAAAGTTCCGTCTAATATTTGTTTTTATTCTTACATGCTTATTTAAAGATAGTTGATGAAACTATTTTGAAGATAATTGTGCTGAGATGTTATTTTCACCTGGCTATCATGCAAAGCTTAGCACAATGTTGTCAAAAAATAATGTTTTTAAATGATTATTCTGCTAAAGTGTATACGTTGTGTTAATACAATTCAATGCAATACAATAAATTTATGCTATTCTATTCGTTCATTACTTAGATTTCCCGAGTACTGAAGAGATCAGAAAGGATTGCAGATTCGTCGGACGGTGCAATGGCATCGGCCACATATAGTGCAACGTTCAATCAATTCGAATTCAATGTAAACAAAGCAACTGTTGACAAATCAGGGTTATTATATTTTACAAATACTTAATTTCATTGTACTCAGTTTTGCATTTTGTTCAGCTTACTAAAATATACAAGTATCTTGGAATTTATTATGATTTAGAAAATAATAAATGCCTTCAGCCTGTTGAATGAAAGCGAAACGGTCAGGGCTTCAAACGTTATCTCTTAATTCCAAGAAAAACAAGTGGAAAATGAAATAATTTTTTGAAACTTAATATAATATTACTTAATATTCATTCCTTACTTTTCTACTGTTCTCATGACAAAAACGCAATAAGACCTTTATCAACCTAAGACAGCCTAGGCAATAATATAAAATTGCAAAACAAATCAATCAATTTACGATGCATAATGCACTAAAGTTCTGAAATATTATTTTTTGTATTCATGAAGGTATATTGGTTTATGGGATAAAAATCTTTTCTTCGATACTGCGTCGGATGACTTCAGCACATGGAAAGCCCGGATTTTCCGAGACTACCCCTTCCATATACACAGAATCATATGCATTAAAGGTATGAACTTATGAAATCATGACTGTTTAATTCATATTTATAGTCAACACACCACTCCACTAGTAAAGAAAGCCATGGCTGTCTTATCTTGTTCTTTTATAATTTATTTAACCATTTAGATAATATAGAAGTTCCCTTCGACTATATATGAAATGAAAACGCCTTCTTATTTAACTGGAATCCATTATATAAATCCACAATTGCAATATATGAAACCATACCGTCAGTGTATGAGACCGAGGTAGCAATATATAAGTTGATTTTGTCAATATACATGCATGATTTCAGTTCTTTAATATATGGTACCAAAGTAGCCATGTATGGAATCAGATATCCTTATACCACGGGGAGGAAGTGTTACACGAAGGATGGAGTTCTCATGATAACTTGTTTGGAGTTCTTATGATAACTGTCACGGAGTTCCTGGAAAACGTTACGGATTTGTGGAAAACTTTTCTATTTACTTGGAGAACTCACGTGAAAAATGGTCATTTTTACATTTAAATGGGAAGTTTGAGGTGCTTAATTAAACTTTGATAATTAAGCTTGCACTACATATTCGATAATGTTTCAGAAAAACCTTTTATTCCATTTTTCATCGCCTTTTTATAAAAAAAATAGTAGTTTTGAGTAAAATTTCCAAATTACTTGTTCATTCGTACATATTGACCTTTTCATTTGTGATCTTTTTCGTTGCTATACATAACAAGAGCCATGTCAACATGGCCATCCCCCGCCAAATGTGTTTGCTCATTGGAAGAATGTATATGTAGTAGAGCAGAATAATTCCATTTTAAGAGGTCTTTGGGTAATGAAAACTGATGGCTATAGTGATTACAGATTTGAAACCTATGTGAATACTGATGGCCGAAAATAACAAAGGGCAATTACTGAATAAAAATGCAGGGTAGGTTATCATTCTTGTGTGCTGCATCCCGCCTCAGTAAAATCTATCCACCTATGAAGTTTCAAGTTGATACCTCAAATACTTTTTGAGAAAAAAATTAAATTGAAAAATTAAGTATGAAAAAGAACAAAGGGCAATAACTCAAAAATTATAAAAGGTAGAGTTATCATTCTTGTGCAGTGCACACCTCCTGAGTGAGATCTATGCACTTATGAAGTTTCATTTTGATATCTCAAAGGCTTTTTGAGTTATGCTCTGGACAAAAATTAATTTGAAAAATAACAAAGGGCAATAACTCAAAAATAATGCAGGGTAGAGTTATCATTCTTAAGCACTGCACTCCTCCTCAATGAGATCCATCCACCTTTGAAGTTTCAAGTTGATACCTCAAATACTTTTTGAGATAAGCTCTGGACAAAATAGCATGAAAAAAAAACAAAGGGCAATAACTCAAAAATTGTATAGGGAAGAGTTATCATTCTTGCGCACAACATTCCTCCTCAATAAGATCTATCCACCTATGACATTTCATGTTGATATCTCAAACACTTTTTGAGTTATGCTCCACTCAGGTGAAAAATTAGGTATGAAAAATAACAAAGGGCAATAACTCAAAAATTATGAAAGGTAGAGTTATCATTCTTGTGCACTGCACACCTCCTGAGTGAGATCTATGCACCTATCAAGTTTCATGTTAATATCTCATAGGCTTTTGGAGTTATGCTCTGGACAAAAATCAATTTTGAAAAATAACAAAGGGCAATAACTCAAAAATCATGCAAGGTAGAGTTATCATTCTTGTGCACTGCACTCCTCCTCAATGAGGTCTATCCACCTATAAAGTTTCAAGTTGATAACTCAAATACTTTTAGAGATATGCTCCGGACAAAAATGTCGGACGGAAGGACGGACGGACGGATGGACGGAAGGACGGAAGGTCGGACGGACGGAGACTATTTCTATATCCTCCGCCGAAATTTTTCGGCGGGGGATAATTACATAATTATAATGCAGAGTTGCAAACATAAAGCCCAGGTTAATAAATTTATACCCGATTTTTCAAATGTCACGGAGTTCTTGTGATAACTCAAAATATGTCCTGGAGTTCTTATAATAACTTTTGTTACTGCCAGTGTGTTTCTTGTGCTAAATTACGGCCCGTTTAAGCGTATTTTATTAGTCAATAGGTGTGTAAATCATTATGAAGTACGCGTATCATTTGCACACACATTTGGTTATATAACGGTGGTTTAGAGTGTATTTCAGTTCAAGAGATATTTTTCTTACATCCGTTTCTTGTGTTTTTTTGAGTGTTTGTTTGGGTTTTTGGGTTTGTTTGATTGTTGTTTTTTTCCATTTCATTGGAATGACTGAAAACATACTTGATGTAGAGCATTTACTTACAGGATAAAAATACGCTTTGAATTTAATATCTAAGCACGATTTCTTCAGTATACATTATTCCTGGCAGTTCTAGAGAACATAAAGTAATTATGCTATTGGTCTGCCGTAACAGATTACATGTAAATGGTTGCAGCAAAATAGGAAGTAGTATGCATTACATTTATCTAAATTTAATGAGGTGGGTGTCATCTTTATTTATTCAATGGATATCTTAATTTCTAAAAGGTATAAATTTTGTCATAGAAACGTATAAAGTTCTATGACAATGATATGACAATAGAAAGTAGGCCTTTAATGGTGACTCACATATATTATTAGATTCTTACTTTCTATTGTCATATCATTGTCATAGTACTTTTTACGTTTCTATGACAAAATTGATACGTTTTAGAAATTAAGATATCCATTGAATATCTAAAGATGACACCCACCTCATTAAATTTAGATAAAGGTAGTGCATACTACTTCCTTTTTTTGCTACAAACCATCCATTTACATGTAATTTGTTTCGGCAGACCGATAACATAATTACTTTATGTTTTCTAGAACTTCCAGGAATGATGTATACATGAAGAAACCATGCTTAAATATTAAATTCAAAGCGTATTTTTATCCTGTAAATAAATGCTCTACATCAAGTATGTTTTCAGTCATTCCAATGAAATGAAAAAAAAAACAAAAATGAAACAAACCCAAAAACCTAAACAAACACAATAAAACACAAGAATCGGAGGTAAGAAAAATATCTCTTGAACTGAAATACACTCTAAACCACCGTTATATAACCGATTTGCGTACTATGCTTCATAATGATTTACACTCTTATTGACTAATAAAATACGCTTAAACGGGCCGTAATTTAGCACAAGAAACACACTGGCAGTAACAAAAGTTATCATAAGAACTCCAGGACATATTTTGAGTTATTATTATTATAAACCACATTTCTATAGCACTCTTTTCATAAACAATAAATATTCAAGAGTGCTTTACATAAATCCGATAAACCATAATCATATATATATAAGACATAATGTACAACATTAATTAAGTAAATCTATTAAACAATAATGATAATCTAAAACCAGTAAAGGATGGTAAGAAATACAGACACATTTAGTTTAAAATCAAGGCTCAAGTAAAATTAACACTGATAATATAGCAAAAGTAGTACATGTATGATGATTTATGAACTAACGTCCATAGAACTTTATGAAATAATGTGTTTTGAGAGCTCTCTTAAAACATGGTAAGGTATTACAGTTTCTAATGGCAGATGGTAACGCGTTCCATAATTTCGCTGCGGCTGTCTCGAAGCACCTGTCACCATATCGTACTGTCCGAGATTTAGGCACAACTAATGTCATTGAGTTATTCTGGGACCTCAGATTTCTGACTGGGATGTACACGTCTATCATGTCTTTTATATAGGCTGGTGATTGATCGATGAGGGATTTATATGTATAAGTCAAAATTTTATATTGACTGCTTAGAGACTCCATATAACAGTGCATTATAGTAGTCTAACCTAGAAGTAACAAGTGAATTTACTAGAGATTTGGTTGCTTTAACAGTAAGATAGGGTCTGATGTGACCGATTTGTCTTAATTGTGCATAACAGTTCCTACAGACATGTTTAACATGTTGTTATATCCTCATGTTCGAGTCAAGAAATGCACCAAGATTGCGCACACTAGATGATTGGCTAATTTTCGAACCGTCGACTGTTACTGTAACATCCGAAACAGGTTGTGCGTTATGTTCAGATCAGAAGATGATCAACTCTGTTTTGTCGCCGTTTAGCTTCAGCATGTTGGCATTCATCCAACTTACAATATCTTCAAGACATCTTTCAATACGGTTTATATTCTCCTGAATTGAAATATTAGTCACTGGTTTGAAGGATAGATAGAGTTGTGAGTCATCTGCGAAGAAATGGTTGTTAAGATCATTTTTACGGCAGATTTCTCCGACAGGTTTCGTATATATCACATAGCTCTTGGGTCCCAGGACAGACCCTTGAGGTACACTGTACTCCATGTGGACTGGCTGTGATAGTTTGTTGTTTATGCATACAGTCTGGTATCGGTCGGTCAGGTATGACGTCATCTATGCGAGTGGCTTGCCTGTAATTCCAAAGTGTCGTTCAAGGCGGCGAAGGAGCGTTCCGTGATCAATTGTATCAAAAGCAGCAGACAAATTAAGCATCACGAGAATAGTCACATTGTTATTATCCAATGACCGTAGAATGTAATTTTGAACTTTTAACAATGCAGTCTCGGGCAAATGGAACTTGCGATAAGCAGATTGGTTGACCTCGTGTAGATTATTTGTCTTCAGATGGCTGTCAATTCGTACGTCAACGACCTTTTCCAAGATTTTAGACAGGAATGGCAAGTTATACACAGGCCTATAGTTTTTCAGTTCGTTAGGATCTAGATTTGGTTTCTTTAGAAGTGGTCTTATTCGCGAGTGTTTGAACATTTTTGGTATATAAGCAGCATCCAAGGACACGTTTATAAAACTGGTTATCACAGGTGTTAGTTCATCTAGGCATTCTTTTAACAGCCATGTTGGAATGGGATCTAAATCACAGGATTTGGTGGCTGATTCTTTAATCAATGTTTTCACTTCTTGCTCTGTGGTTGGAGCAAACACAGTATATTTGACACTCGTATATTCAGATTCCTTATCTACATTATCAGGTACCGATTGTGTTTGAAAACGTATGTTATTCCTTATTGTTTCAATCATTCCGATAAAGAAGTCACTGAATTTCTGGGCAAGGCGCTCTGAAGATGAATCAAATGGTAGAATCACTTCATTTGTATCTCCAAGTAGACCTTTGGTAATCTTAGATAGACTTTTATGATCATTGCCACAATACTCTATTTTACTTGTATAGTGATCTACACGAGCTTGTTTTAACATCTTGTTAACACTAGAACAGTGTGTTCTGTAGATCTGATGGTCTATTGTAAGTTTAGTTTCACGCCATTTCCGTTCCAGTATACGTTTTTCATGTTTGGCTTCGTGGAGTTGCTCTGTTTACCACGGACAAGCAGGTGTCAATGTAATAGTCTTGTTAATCATCGGAGCATGTTTATCACAAGAACTCCGTGACATTTGAAAAATCGGGTATAAATTTATTAGTCTGGGCTTTATGTTTGCAACTATGCATCATAATTATGGAATTATGTATAGCAACGAAGAAGATCACAAATGTAAAGGTCAATATTTACGAATGAGCAAGTAATTTGGAAATTTTACTCAAAATTACCAATTTTTTTATAAAAAGGCGATGAAAAATGGAATAAAAGTTTTAATGAAACATTATACAATATGGAGGGCAAGCTTTATCAAGTTTAATTTAGCACCTCAAACTCCCCATTTAAAGTTAAAATGACCATTTTTCACGTGAGTTCTCCAAGTAAATAGAAAAGTTTTCCACAGAAATCCGTAACGTTTTCCAGGAACTCCGTGACAGTTATCATAAGAACTCCAAACAAATTATCATAAGAACTCCATCCTTCGTGTAACACTTCCTCCCCCGTGTATACGAAACCGAATGATCAATATATTAATTCATTTTTCAATATATGAAACCATTTATCAATTTATGAAACCAAAATAGAAATATAAAAGTTGGTTGTCACATTAAATGATACCAATTTTTCAATATATGGTACCAAAATAGCCATATATGGAACCAAATGCCATTATATGTACCCGAATTATCAATATATTAATTCATTTTACGATGTATGGAACCGAAGTACAAATGTACAAATATATAAGTTGGTTATCACATTATATGATACAAATTCTTCAATATAATTATGGTACCAAAGCAGCCTAATATGGAACCAGATATCCATATATTGAACCAAATTATCAATATATTAATTCATTTTACAATGTATGGAACCGAAGTAGCAATATGTAAGTTGATTATGACATCATATGATACTACATATGTAATTCTTCAAAATATTGTACCAAAGTAGTCATATATGGAACCAGATGCCCTAATATGAAACCACATTATCAATATATTAATTCAATTTTACAATACATGAAACCATTTCATCGATGTATTGATCCAATATATCAATTCATAAGTTGATGCGGTCCTGATATGGCACCAGTTCTTCAATATATTGTACCAAAGTAGCTGAATATTTAACCAGATGTCCTTATATGAAACCGATTTATCAATATATTAATTCGTTTCTAAGAATATATGAATCCAGTTTATCAAGGTATGTAACCGAAGTAACAATATATAAGTTGATTATCACATTTTATGATACCAGTTCTTCAATATATGATACCAAAGTAGCAATATATGGAACCAGATGTAAAACCGAATTATCAATATATTAAATCGTTTTTACAATATATATGTAATCATTTCATCAATGTATTGGACTGAAGAAGTTCCCATATATATGTCGATTTTACATTATATGACACCAATTCCTTAATATATTGTCATAAGGCTATATTCTATCCTTGCTAAGGTATTACAGTTTCTCGCCAATATTCCTTATAGAACTGTCAAAAGACCATCGTGCTTTACTGATTGCATACTGCACATTTTCTTAATAAGGAAATATTTCAATTTAACGTCACATTCATTTTGGCCTTAAAAAGAGCTGGGCAAAACTTGTCGTCATATATGTATGTTAAGTACCGACAATTAACAAAAACATACTTAAAAAATAAGTTCATCTCGACTTTTACCTTTGATCAAAAATGAGCATGATCAAAGTTAATCTACTCACAAAAGTAAAATAATAATTGATTTCTTGATAAAGTGAATGCATTGTAATAACAGAACCCAGTGACCTCTGCCTTTCACTTGTTGACTTGAAAATAGGATATTTTGATTCAATAAAATAAAAATTGCTATCATGGAATGTTACATCAACTTATATACTGCTACTTTGGTTCCATACATTAATAAAATGGTTTCATATATTGTAAAAATGAAATAATGTATTGATAATTCGGTTTCATGTAAGGGAATCTGGTTCCATATATGGCTACTTTGGTACCATATATTGAAAAACTGGTAATAATCAAGTCATATATTGCTACTTTGGTTCAATACATTGATAGATTGGTTTCATAAATTGTAAAAATGAATTAATATATTGAAAATTTGGTTTCATATCAGGACATCTGGTTCCATATATGGCTACTTCGGTACAATATATTGAAGAATTGGTATCATAAAATGTCATAGTCAACTTATATATTGCTACTTCGGTTCCATACATTGTAAAATGAATTAATATATTGATAATTCGGGTATATCTGGTTCCATATATGGCTGCTTTGGTACCATATATTGAAGAATTGGTGTCAGTTAATGTGATAAGCAACTTATATATTTCTACTTTGGTTTCATAAATTGATAATTCGGTTTCATATATTGAAAAGCAAATTAATATATTGATAATTCGGTTTCATATAAGGATATCTGATTCCATACATGGCTACTTTTTTACCATATATTGAAGAACTGGAATCATATATTGACAACATCAACTTATATATTGCTTCCTCGGTTTCATACACTGACGGTATGGTTTCATATATTGTAACTGTGGATATATTTATAATGGATTCCGGTTAAATAAGAAGGTGTTTTTAATTCATATATAGTCAAAGTGAACTTATATATTATGACATGGTTACATAAATTGAAAAAGAACAATATCAGACAGCCATGGTTTTCCATACACTAAGGTTTTCTCTTTAGTCACCCAGAGTACATGTATATTGCTTTCAATATAATCCCTCTTGTTACAAGAGATAATAGCATTTGTAGGCGAGGTGTAACTTGTCACGTCATTAAAAAAAATCCAATCAACTAAAGCATTTTCAAAATTCATATGAGATTAGAGACAATCACTTTACGCTATATATTTAGTTGTCAGTTGGAGTTCGTACCTCAAAAATAAACCTTTATTAAACTTAGAACACACATACTAAAAATAATAATCCATGACAGCCGGTTCGTGGGTTTCAAAACGGAGATATGTCTATACATCTGTGAAACAAACCTATTAACCGAACCAATAAAATATTTCAGAAGAATTGTTAATAAAAGACATATTGTATTGCCATTTGTTTTTTTATTACTTGATTTGCACGTTTTGTTAGCATCAGGTCTTCAAGAGAATAAAATGATAAGTAGATATTTCATTCAGTCAGATCACAAGATCAATAATTACAATACAATACCGATAATGTTAAATGTTTTGCATTATTGCATTTTTTTAATAAGCAGTAGCCCTTTCTCTGTTCCAACCAACAGTTAATCAGTAAAGGACAAGGCAAGTGTACATATTCTTGCATATTGAAACCTTTTACTGCTGCGTTTATTTGTTACCTTTTAGAGTTGTTATATTAATTTCAAAGGTTTTTATATCATGCTCAGTTATTCAAGAAATAATTTTGATTTATAATGTTCCGTATTATTGTTTATTGAATGGATTTCTAAATAATTCGATTTATATTATAATTTTTGTCGCTAAACTATTCGAGCATTTAGTCTACTTTATATCCCCAATTGGTGTTTATTGTTTTTTTTGTTCTTCTTATTTTCATATTTCATTTGTTATCATTATGTTGCTATGTCATCATAAATTTCTATCTAATTGTTTCTTCTTTCTTCATATTTAAATATTATCATGTTAGATTCCTTACGAACAAGCCCTCCTGTATTCTGTGATGTAGCTGCCGAATCAACACAACATGATCACGTATGTATTTACACGACAGACGATGCATGGAAAGTGGGAGCGTGTAGATCAATGAAACATCTTTCTAATTGTGGTATGAAATTCTAATTGGATAGATGTAATTTCGTATTTGCCCCTATAAGCTTATACGCGTTTACCTAAAAATTTGAAATGTTCTAAATGTAAGCAAACAGTTTTTTTTCTGTACGATGTCCTTTACTTGAAAACAACAAAAATATAAATATAACAAAAACATTTATTTTACAAAACATGCATAAAACATTTACTATGTAAGACATGTTTTATACGATTAAAAAGACTTTTTAGCTCACCTGAACTTGCTTAGGGTGAGCTGTTAGGATCGTTGAATGTACCTAGTCCGTCGTCCGTCCGCACTTGTTAACACTCTAGCGGTCACATTTTTGCCTCAATCATCATCAAATTTGGCCAGGATGTTTATCTAGTTAATAGCTCGGATGAGTTTGAACATGTGCTATCTCGGACGAAAAACTAGGTCACAGGAGCTAAAAAAAAACAAACAAACTTGTTAATACTCTAGCGGTCACATTTTTGCCTCAATCATCATCAAACTTGGTCAGGATGCTTGTCTAAGTGTTAGCTTGGATGAGTTTGAACATGGGTCATCTCGAATGAAAATCTAGGTTACCGGAGCTGAAAATAGAGAAATCTTGTTAACACTCTAGTGGCTACTGTTTTGATCAAAATATCCTGTAAATTGGTCTGAAAGTTTGTTTTGATTTCTAGGTCAAGTTCGAACATTGGTCATCTCGGATGAAAAACAAGATCACACCGCCAAAATATGAAAAAAAAACCTTGTTAACACTCTAGTGGTCACATTTTTGACTCAATTATCATCAAACTTGGTCAGGATGCTTGTCTATGTAAATGCTTGGATGAGAACGAACATGGGTCATCTCGCATAAAAAACTAGGTCACCGGAGCTAAAATAGAAAAATTTTGTTTACATTCTAGTGGCTACTATTTTGATCCAAGTATCCTAGACATTGGTCTGAAAGTTTGTTTTGATGATTTCAAGATCAAGTTCGAATATGGGTCACCTGGGTAAAAAACTAAAATACTTGTCTATGTAATTGTTCGGATGAGTTCGATGGGTCAGATGTGCAATCTAGGGCCATCATGACCCTCTTGTTAAAGAAAATTCTTTTCTGTTCATATTCATTGTTTTCTTTCAAAATGGAAATCATGCTAAATGTTGAAATCTGCATGGACCGATGATATGGGTGTTGACAGTAACTTAATATTCGAGTACCGCTTATGATTTTTGACTTTCTTCATACCTATACTCTATTAATCTATTCTGCTGTAATATTTCAAAAGTAAACATTTTATCCATTTTCACTTCAGAATCGTTTGTTTGTGGACCTGGATTTTTTAAATGCCCAGAGAGTTATTGTATCCCTAAGAAGTTTGTATGTGATGGTATAAAACATTGTAACGGAAACGAAGACGAAACAGAATGCCAATGTAAGAGATTCAATGAGTCATTCGATTGTAGCATGCTAGCAGATTGATCTAAGTGAAATAAAAGTCATTGCAATATTGCTGCATTTAAGATTTTATTAATCTCAATCATGTTTTTGTCAACGTTTATTATCTTACCCGAGTTTTCACTTTCTGTTTCTTCCATCATCTTCAAATCACATGTAGACGGCATAAGTTTAACAGTATAATATAAGTTCATTTATGGTCTCTATAATGCTTTAATAATCTGCCACCTGTAAGAAAATTCGAACAACAAATTCAAAACAGCAACATAGCCATCTTCAACAACGACAACAAAAACAAAAGAGAATAGAATCGTTATTTTCTTACTAAATCATTTGTTTAGCAATATTCATATCTTGTGAATTTCAGTGTGTAAATCGATTACAAGTACACGAATCATTGCTGGAATTGATTACAATGATATCGTGGGAAGTATGGAAATATTTTCATTACAAAATCTTGCAAATGTATGGAATAGCAAGTTAGTGTTGTTCCAAAAGTTACCAAGAAAGGTAAATAATAAAATATTAGTATAAAACCCTTTCTAAAAACAAAACAGAAAATATTATATTTTACTGTCAAAGTAGCCTTTGCATCTTAAAAACTGGTAAGGTCACATAGACTTTTTCGTCATAATTATGATGCACACGTCAAATGATGTGAATAAAACTGCAACATTGTACAGACTCTTACATATATTGAAATGTTAATTGATTACGGAGCATCGGTCGAATGTACTGTTTTAATAACCAATCAAAGTCGATAGTAATTGAAGTTAGCAGGAGTAAAACCAAACATCGTATTTTAATTATAATCTTTTTTTATTGTTCTGTCCGCTATAAAAACTATACCCATATTCCAGTTAAAGTCTGTAGTTTGTGGTTTAACGACTGGCAGTTCTAAGGCAGTGCTCGACTGAATTCCAATTATTCATGATTTCATGCCCAATATTTTAACTTTACCCCTGAATTTTCTGCAATCTTATCCTTGTTATTCACGTATCTGCATTCAATTAGATAAATAAATCTTTCAGGTACCCATAATGATTTCCTTTTTTTCCTAATTAAATCGTTAATTGTGGAAGCAAATGTTATGACCCTTCCTTGCTCTACCCTTTTGTCCATCTCTATTTTGTTTGGGCGCCCTGGATTTGTACCTTAACTTTCATTCAGTAAATTTTCATTTTAAACATTTAATACTATTTTGATCATCAGATAACGATTCATTATAAATCACTATTTTAAACCACCAGAAGCAACTGAACAAATCTTAAAATTTCTATGCATATGAATTCAAACCGACTGTTTTGCCTTTGAAAGTGACATAAAGTTGTCGACTAAACATCTGGTTTCGAATTACTGACAAAAGATATGAAATGTAGCAAAAAATCTACCTAATTATAACCCACATAAATGTCAAACATTCCGACAAAACAATTTATGCAAGTTATATTACTGTAAATTTCAAGAAATGAGGAAGAATTTTTTTGAAACTTTTGCTTTTAAGTTTTGTTTTGTTGTAATATCGAAATTCATTTGCTTGGAGTCGGCACCATAGACATAAAAACAACAAATTTTAAAATATATGAAAATGTTAAACTATTTAAGATAATCGCAGCATTTATAAATAATAAATCGCATTTAAGACAAAGCTTGAAAAAGTATATAATCTACGGGATGCTTTTAAATCGTATTTAATAATTTTGTTCGTGGTTTGAAAATGTCAACACAGCAGAGGTACTATGAAATATTTGACTGTCTTCTGTTTATTAGAATGGAGACAATGAACGGGAATTTGATGCATATATTTATGATACTATTCTTACCCGGTCAAGAGTGAACTGTACTAAACATGAAGAGTCCTGCAACGAAAACATACTTGCAGCTTTAAACGCGACAGATGTGTATCGAGAGCTTATTTGGGTGGAGACTCGATCTTTGCCTTTGAAGGAAACACCTTTTCCAGGCTTTTCCAGTTCATTTAACCGTTCGTGGAAAATTGTCATTGACGCATCTGAACAATATCCGATGAAAATTAATCACGGCAGCATTTCAGAAATACGAGTGCGAAGCATGGGATTATTTCGAACAATTGGACCAGACATATTACGGGGAAATTGTACTGGTAATTCAAAATTATTCTTTGCTCCAAAGAAATGCCTGTGTATTCTTTAATGGTTTATTCAATTGCCCTTATTACGAGTAACTTGCATAAGATTTCATTGGAAAATAACTTTATACATTTGATAGACTATTAAGGTTTTTATCCTGTGTGGCTATTCAAAGATTTGGAAACAAAAACGTGTTTAAGATGTAGTTACAAAGACTGTATGCTAATGTTTTATTACTTTGCTTAATTAGAAAAGAGCAAGGACATAAGACAATTTTAATGTTAAGAAATAAGCCATGTTTAGACATAATTTAAGTAAACCAAAGCATAAACAAGACCTAGAAAAAGAAGCAACAGGTAGATGGCATAAACCACGTAAAATATTATTTACCTCAAAGAAAATAAAAACTATGCAACGCTCTAGAGAATGAATTTAATGTCTTCTGTACCAGGATATTAGACAAAGGCCTATGGAAAATATTTTTGAAACTTAAATTGAGAGAATTATTTGAAACTAAAAATGTTTGGATAGTTAAGAATTAAGCGATGTTTTTTTTCAAAAATTTCATTAAAAAACAATTTGTACCGGCCAACGATGCCCATGTCCTCTAACGTATTATGTATATTATATATCAGGTGTAATGTTATAATGAAGTAGAATTTACTTTGAAAAAGACTAATCACTTGAATATCATTCTTATAGTATGCCATTGTTATGTTTTATAAGTAATCGTATTGCTATATACTTATGGGCATGCTGCCTTTGTATACTAGTTTTTACAGTTTATCAATTTTATATTTCATAGTCTGAACCAGTTTGCATTTCAGATATTAATGAAGCTTCTTAAAATATGACAGTTATTTTTTTCATAGTTTCAGGGAAATTGTGTAAAAATGAGTACAGATGCAGTCTCAGTCGAGTTTGTCTTCCATTTTCAAAATTTTGTGATGGAAAATATGATTGTCCACATCGAGATGATGAACAGTTTTGCAATTTTGTTTGTCCGTTTGATTGTACTTGCCTGGGTTACAGTGTTTCATGTCCGCGGTCTCCCCACAATGTGATAGCTTATTTACCTTTCTTGACACGTAAATCTGACATCAGCAATGCCCATTTTGAGTACAATGCCTTAACACTGGAAAGTTCCCTGCCCTACCTAGCAGTGCTTTTTGCTTCAAACAGCAAGATAAATTTGATAAGAAGTGAAACATTTAAGCTTGCTCGTAACATTTTTCACCTGGACTTAAGTAATAATGACATTTCTTTGATTCAAACAAGAGCATTTCTTGATTTGAATTTTTTAAAAACACTTGAATTGCATGGAAACAAGAAACTTGCAACAATTGAGTCGTACAGTTTTATCGGTTTGACAATATCAATATTGGAAATTAACAAGGCAAAATTGAAGGCGTTACATGCTCAAACATTTTCAGGATTAAATGTCCAAAATCTTGATCTATCGGAGAATGACATTGAATCAATAAGCGCCTTTGCTTTTGATAATTTAAGCGTCGAATTCTTAAATGTGAATAAAAATCCTATAAAAGAGTTTAACAGAGATCTATTTGTTGGGATTAAAAATATTAAATCCTTACAAACTCCATCGTTTAGATTATGCTGTATCAAACCAGTAGATTTATTGGAAGAGAACTGCTTACCACATAAAGACGAATTTTCGTCCTGCGAAGATTTGATGAGGAATACCACGTTACAAGCGCTTCTTTGGACGATTTGTATTTTATCTATTGTTGGAAATATTCTGTCAATGCTTTACCGCGTAGTATTCGACAGTAAAAGACTCAAACTAGGCTATGGGATATTTGTGACGAATTTATCAGCTGCAGATTTGTTGATGGGCATTTACTTGTTGATAATCGCAGTAGCAGACAAAATGTTTAGAAATAGGTATTCATAAAGCACATTTTAATTTCTTTTAGTTTATCTTTTTTATAAGCAAGATTGACTCGACGCCAGTCAATGTGTAAACATCCTTTCGATCACTACTTGTAAATTACTTGCTAATCAACATATTAATCGATGTAAGTAAGCAAAAACAATCCCGGAATATATTTTCGAAGACGCCGGAAACAAAGACTTTGGACATCATCTTAATTCAAAGTAAACTTGTCTTTCATATTTTTCGCCTAAGGGGGTGTTTGTTAATATCACAAAGGCTTGTTTCCCTTATTTTTTAGATACATTGAAGTTGATGATTACTGGAGAAAAAGCACGTGGTGTATGATTGCAGGCGTGTTGTCTACAATATCATCAGAAATGAGTGTCGTGCTAATATGCTTCATTACTATTGACAGAATACTTGTCATCAAATTTCCTCTTGGAACATTAAGATTCAAACCATTTTCTGCTTCAGTTACAGTAGCAGTATCTTGGTTGTTTGCAAGTATCATTGCTTTTATACCGCTGTCTGGGATTGATTATTTTGGGACGGCTTTCTACGGAAGGTCTCCGGTTTGTCTTGCATTACCACTGACACGCGAAAAGACACCGGGCTGGCAGTATTCTGTCGTTATTTTCATTGGACTTAACTTTATCCTGTTTTTACTTATTGCATTAGGCCAACTATTGATCTTCTTTGAGATTAAGAAACAGTCAAAGCAAAAACGGCGAATGAACGTGGCAAGAACAAACGATTTGACGGTTGCAAGAAATCTCCTCCTGCTTGTTTTGACCGATTTCTTGTGTTGGTTTCCAATCGGATGTATGGGTAATGTATTTTGTTAATGATGTCTGAGCATTTGTTACCAACATAATTCGTCTATTAGTTTAAATCTATACCAGAACACAAATTTCTTTAATTTGAGAACCTAGCCCCGTGATTTCTAAGAAAATCTGGACCAGGACTAAATGATCGAGGTTTTATTTTCAGTGTTCTATGAAATTAATATTGATCGTATGAGGGAATATAAATAAGGTTTAATATATTGTTTTTCCAAAAAAGTCCAACCTACTTCGGGATGATATTGAAGGATCAATTTTGTGATCCAGATCAATAGTCGGATCAACTTTTATCATTTAAGTTTTAACTACATGTATTTTATAATAAAACTGCATAATATGCTATTTCAAATTCCAGTTTTACTAAGTTATAATGAATATTAATTTTATAAGCATAATAACACAGTTTATAGTTTGGATCCTGATCCTTGAATCTAAAATAACGTGGGCAAAGAGGCAGAAAATGTTATGTAAATCATGAATGTGAAGTCAAGATTTGCCCATGTGAATCATCCATTACCTTTAGATTGATAAAAACCGAGGCCAATTATTTCTCGGATCAACATTGGAGGCTTTGTTGTACGTATTTTTTTTAATTCCAGGAATGATGGCCTTAAGAGACAAGTACGTACCAGCAGATGTGTATGCGTGGACAGCTATTCTTATTTTACCAATTAATTCGGCTATGAACCCGTTTCTGTACACATTTTCAACAATTTTTGGCAACATGGTAACGATAATTTTTTTGTGTCGCCTTTACGAAGTAGATGCGACATATAGGAATTACTTCTCTGTTGTCTGTCGGTCTGTCCGTCCGTCATAAAACTTGTCTGGACTACCCGTCTAGTTGTGCATATCATTCTTTTTATGGTTCAATGCAATTGTTGTAGTTATGTTCCTTCAATTATTTTTTTATTTTTTAAAGTATGTCGGGACTACATTTCTTATACAACTAAGCAATTTCAATGGAACTGTGCAAGATTAATTGGTAGGTCAAGTACTTACGCATATTACACGGGGTTTTCCGCTTGAATGATTTTTGGTCCAGTTACGGCCCTTGAATGAAAAGGGTGTTTATAAGGTTTGCCAGGACTACCCCTCTTAAACCATTTATGCAATTTCGATGAACCTTTACAGGATCGATTGTTAGATCAAGTACCTGTGCATAATAATCAAGTATATCGCTTGAATGATTTTCAGCTGAGTTATAGCCCTTGAATAGAAACGTTTTTTGTCCTGTTAATGATTTTTGGGTCTCCTGCTATACAGTAGCTGCAACGTGCGATTGGCTATCACGATACATGTCATCGTTGATGGCCCCTGTCTCAATTATAATTACATCATTATTTGTAATAAACTAATTTCAATACAAGTTTACAAAAATGTTTCAACTAAATAAACATTTAAGTCCTTATCAGATTTAACCGGAGGGGACATGAGGTTCGTCGTCCGGCCACCGTTCACAATAACTAGAACCCATGATAAGCAAAATGCACTGAAAAAGTTTTATGAAACTTGAAATATGGATAGAGGGTAGCCTGGTGGTTCTGCTTCCTATGCTGAAAAAAATGATTGCTATGGCATCATATGTGCTTAAAATATGGCAAATAAAAAATATTTGTGATAACTCAAAACGTACTGAAACTATTGTAAAATTTATAAACTTAAAATATGGATAGATGTCAGTATGGAGATTATGCATGTCATTTTGAGCTCGGCTATTCAGAGTAATTTGAGAGCTGCTGTACTCGCCTAGCGTCCGCAACCACGTCATGATGTCTTGAATAATATTAACTATTTCTTCTTGATTTCTTACGGTATCTTTTTCAAACTTCATATTTTGTGTTTCGTATTATCACTCACATAATGTGTCGGACGTTTCAATACGCTGGCTTACCAATTACTGCAGAACTATGTCCTTTCCTTAAACTAAGAATTTTTGATGAACTAATTATTTTTCGCTGTAGCTTCTTCACTTCTTAAAGGATTCACATTTAACTCCCATATCATAAAAAGACGAGATTTATAAAGCGTCTATATTTCCAGAAGTATCTCCCCTAAAATCTAAAATTTTCCTTATTTATTCTATACGAGGGCTGTTCGAAAAGAATTGCTTATTGTCCTCTATCTCGTGATTCACGTGGGACACGATAAAAACCAATACATACCTGTATCGATCGGGTAATTCAAAACCTTCACAACGGTGTATAAATGTACATGTTAAGTGTAAGACATACAATTCGCCATTTAAATACACGCAGCCACTGTACGTTAGTAAAAATGGTCGGTAGAAGCGTCGGCATAAAAGATGAAATACGGTCTTACATCAAAGCTTCCTCAAAACCGGGTTGCTCTTTGAAGCAGTTGATGACTGAACTTTCTACTGCTTATGGGTCTTCTTGTGTGTCTTATGACACAGTTAGACGATGGAAAAAGACATTTGAGTCTGGTGTAGAGTCAAAAATGCACCACAATCAGGTAGGCCAAAATCTGCATCTCGTAACGAAATCGTTTCCAAAATAAAGGATATTATTGAAGGAGATGCCAGAATTACAGTTCGTGATATTGCACGAAAGGTAGGCATATCACTATCAACGGTTCACTTAATTTTAAAGAAGCTTTTGAAAGTCAGAAAGATTTCTGCTAGATGGGTGCCACATCTGTTGACCGATGAGCAAAAGAGGCAACGGGTTAAGGTGGCTAAAAAGCTGCTCCAAATGTTTCCAAAATATGACCCAAAAAAAACAGTTTGCCAATGTCGTCACAGGTGATGAAACTTGGGTCCATTATTTTTAGCCCGTCAGAAAAGTTAGCAACAAAATCTGGGCCACTAAACACAACAACGCCCAATAATTGCCAAACGGTCTATGAGTGCAAAGAAGGTTTTGTATGCAATTTTCTTCTCTGGTGAAGGAGTCGCAATAAAAGTGCCGGTGAAAAAGGGCAAAAGTATCACTGAGAAATACTACAAAGGCGTAGTACTTAAGAAACTGAAAAAGTATTTTAACCCTTTACCTCATATATACGCGATACAACGCACTTTCGACCCCCTTCCCCTCTTTTAGGCCTCAAATAGTGAAAAAATGTCCTATTTGGGACCCAAACACATTTTTTCGTTTTAGAAATGTTGCTAAAAAAAGTGAGCACTTTTTCGGCGCGGCCCCCTTCCAAAAGATACATCAGGGGGGTTGCCAGAAGTTTAGGGGGTTTGAAGGGGGGCGGTATTCCCCCTTCTCGCCAAGAAAATTTTGGAGTTGTGAGAGGCTAAAATGACCCCAGGTCGATCATGAGGAAACGTGTAACCAACGCTGAAAAGCCTTTGACTCTATCTCAATCCCTTGAAAAGTTGCAGCACTTTGAAATAAATTTTGATGGAAAAATCGTGGTAAAATAGTGATTTTTGGCAATTTCGAGATGTCCCTCCGTTGCCATGGTAACAGGAAATTTAGGACTGAGCGTGTCGTTACAAAGGCAATGGTCCAGTCAACATGTGTTCCAAGTTTGATTAGTATTGAAGCATTTTTCATAGTTTTATAGCAGTTTGAACTTGTAACAGGAGGCTTTTCAATGGAAACGGCCATTTTTCACAATATGCTCATGAGGGAAAGCGATAAGAAACGACGCCCTGTTACTGGTTTTAAGCATATCCGTCTTCTACATGACAATGCCCCCGCTTACACCTCCGCAATAGTTTTGGCGTTTTTGAAAAAAGAAAAAGTTTTGCCTCACCCCCCTTATTCTCCAAACCTTGCCCCATGAGATTTTTTTTTGTTTCCGAAATTGAAATCCTTCCTTGCTGGGCGGAAATACAAGTCCCGACAGGCACTTGGATCTGCCATTTATCAGTACCTTATTACTGTGCCCAAATTAGCGTACCGTGACGCCTTCAAGAAGTTGATACATCGGCTGAAACTTTGCATTTCTAGCCACGGGAAGTACTTCGAGGGCCTGAAATGAACACTTTTAAGCCAACTTGAAATTTGAAGTCTCCAGATAGAAATAAGAAATACATTTCGAACATCCCTCTTATATATACATTTAAAAGTCTAGCACCTGGGTTCCATGACTATTTTCATTTTGAACTATAATTTCAATGTTTGTTTATTTTACTTATTTGCTTCTTTAAATGATATATATTTACAAATATTTACATCTTTTACGTTTCTTCTTTGTTTCTATAAACGGCTTAAGATAATTATTCCTTGTCATCAGTCACATCATGTATGACAAGGTTAATAAGTCTAGCATCTTTATTTCAAGAGTTATCTCTTCTTAAGTTTAAGAATTCTGCTTTTAAAAATGTTATATTCTAGTTTCAACAAGGTAGCTTCCAAAATTGCCTTGTCTGTCTGTCTGACTAACCGTCCCTAAAAACTGTTTCCTGTTATCACCTTTAAAATACTTGAAACTTTTCCACCAACTTTACTTAAAATAGAAAACAGTGGAAACATTACTTATACATATTCATCCTGAGAAAATTGGATCTTTTAATTATCTGTTGTATAAACATAATTTACTTATAAGGGAGGGAAACTTAACATATTACTACGATACAGACAAACTAAGAACTTAAAAGTTCATTCACGTCTTCCACAATGACATAATTGAATATTCCTCGCGGGGTTCTTACCGGTTTTATTGATCTTTAGATGAATATGTTTAAGATTAGAAAATGTATTTGCTATTTAAAACATAAATGTCAAAATGTTTTTCATATTTTAGAAATTGAATCCTGATGTAGACGAACAAGTACGTGTCGATTTAGGAAAAGGTAAAAATGCTACATGAAATCAATAAGATATATGTATATTTCATAAAATGAAAACAGCAACAACAAATATGAATTATCGCATGTGTTACAAACATGTTAATAAGATTCTAAAGAGATATATGACATTATTTGAGAAAAATATATATATTGGATTCAAACCATCTATCGGACAAAAGAATCGATTATTTTAGTGTAGCCATCAAACGAATCACGAGAGAGATGTTTCCGTTCACTGTCTTCATTTTTTAATACTTTTTTTCCCTTTTATTTACCAATCTGTATATATCGGGCTAGAAAAGAGCTGCAATCTGTACTTTTTACCAGTAAGATTATCTACCAGACAAAATATGTTTCGTAAATATAGGAGGCAATTAATTGAACATATGTGATGTAAGTTATAAAAAACATACATAATGCATCCTATGAATTGATATAATACCATTTATAGTACTTCTTTGTATATTTTCTATATATAGACCCGCTATTTAGATTAGGCCCGTCAATAGACAAAACGTTCTTTCATAAAATAAAACGACGCATATAGGGTGAATATTTTAATACAACCTTATCTAAACAGAATATTTCTTGTTATTTTATCTTTTCGATAACATAATTCACAGATTTGAAATTATTCAAAGGAATATTTAACAGATTTTATTAATATCATGCATTATTTTCTAGAATGAGGGGTTTTGTTATTTGAGCCATTTAAAAAAAATCACTACAAAATAACATCCGTGTTTTTTCGTCAAAGTAAATGTATGTTTCATTATTTTCGTTATCTTCGCGTCTGAAAATTAATTGAATATACCCAAAGATGGTTTTAAATCAAATCCGCGCTTACGCACTGCACTCTATACATAAATCTCAAGGTATCTACAAAAACGTGAGTATGAAATACGGCTTAGGTTACTAAGAAAAATTTTCAGTTAATGGAAAAAAATAAGCAGAAGAAAAAATAGCGAAGAACAATAGCGAATATTTTCGTTTTGCAGAAATCGCCACGGCGGCAGTTCTTGACACATTACCGTACTTTATGGCAAGGAGGCTGAAACGTGGGACACGTTTTATTTTACTTCGTGATTACTTGCAAGAAGGAACAATGACACAATGGGAGAAGCTTTGTGTAGCATACCAGTTAGCTGAGTGTTTGAGATGCTTACATTCTAATGACCTAGCCTTAAAAAAGATTACAACGAGCACGATATTGCTTCGCTTAAACTTTCTGACCAACGTAAGTTGTATATAATGCACATTAAATTTTGCATGTAGCTTTTATGACACATGCAATATTTTTAACTTATATGGTTAACGTAATCAATATAAATCTATAGTAAATATATGATATGAAATAAGTTGTCATTTGATTCAAACTTCAATGAATCCAGGTCAACCTTAAAATGTTATGAAATATGCTTCTGGCGAGCGTAGATACATTTGCTATAGTCGAGTACACTCGTATTCTATCACATGAGTAAATTGAACCAAAACAACCCGTTAGTAACTTCAATTTTTTATTTATGAACATACTTTAAACATATAGTTAAAACGGTGACCGTTATACACAAAAAGATACGTATTTTTTATACTTCTTAGGTCACAATGAAAGACATTTGATAATATTAGGTTATTATACAATGTAATGTTTAGAACAATGAATTTCTTTTAACAAGTACAAAGCTGCCAAACCTGTATTGGGGAGGCGTTAGTAAATTCAAATAAGGGGTTCTAATAGAATTTGTATTGTACTCAATAATGTCTTCCGGCAACAATTCCACATTGACAATTTTTGACATTTGAGAAAACTTTGTTACTCACCAAAGAGTCCTGTTCCTTGCCTACATTTACTGCGGAAAGTAGAGTAAGTGGAAGAAACTCCGGACTAAATAAGGATTTGATGCCAATTATTTTTTTAACACGAAAACGAGGCTAGACAGAGAACAATCATTATGGTAACTCGATGATTTACTTTTAATAGGAAAATAAAAACAAAACGATGCTAAATTGAGTACTGGAGGCTACATTGATAAGATTGGATCAAATAAGGATTATACTGGTAGATCACATTATGCAAACGCTGAATATTTATAAGTTACATTTCATAAGTTGTGAAATAAGCATACATTTCGGGCCATATAAGAATTATTATTTTACTAGTCGCATCAACCCAATATCAAATGTTATGGGAAAATATTAAGTAAGAGTATAAGGTAATTCTAATTTTGGTTAACAATACTTATGAAATGTCTTAGCAAAATTACTATGAGGTCATTGAAAAGTTTGCACTATTGGTTAACAAAGATTTCGTTTAAATGTAGCTTTTATGATTTTTCAGTCTGTTGCTATGATACAATTACAACAACCAGCAAGCGGGAAAAGCGGAAAAAGCAGGGTGTCTCGTGCAGAAAATATTTATCAATTCGGTTGCGTTGTTGGACAGCTTTTCTCGTAGTTTTGATTTAAAACGTCTATGTCTTTGTATAGCCTGTTTGTTTTGTATGTTTGATTTGTTTTTCCCGAGCAAATTATCTTGTTTTGTCTATATGTATGGAATATTTTTATTTGCATAATTATCCTCAATCAAACCGAGTCTGAATTTTCGTGTAATATTGTTGTGACTTATTATTCCGAAGGATCACCCTACTTTAGAATTTTTGTTACAGAAATATAATTTATTAATGTACGATTTTTAAAGTTGCTTAAATCAAACCGATTCTGAATTTTCATAGAATTTTGTTGCGATTAATGATTCCGAGGGAACACTCTTTTTACAGAAATATAATATATAATCAGATGTTTTTTTAATGTCAGTTAATAAGTATTTTGATAAACCGAATATATGAATTGTAAAACTGGATATAAATGAAATATACAAATTCCATATCGACTCCTGGTGGTTTCACGATAAAATTGATATACATTCAAATGATAGAAAGTATTATGTAAATCTCCCATAATATTTTGTGAATTTTCATTGAATCAAATTTACAAACTTTAATTAAACTCAAGATTAGTTTAGATTCGTTTAGACTCGAGATTAAAATGGTGTGTTTCGTTTTAAGTAATTGTAGTGAAAAGTAAATTAATTTTTAAGTTTGCTTTAAGACGATTGTTACATATGTGATGGTGTTTTAATTTTTTACTTAATTGTATCAGGCTATTGTACTTTACATTATTTCGCACACATACCTATGTGCTTACTTTTTATCTGTTACAAATTACACTTCCTGTTTTTACTTAAGAGTTGAAATAATTTGATAAGTCGACAAGAAATGAAATTTATGCCAGGTAAACGATTAAATGTAGTTCAATATAATTGTGTGAATACTTTATATTTTTATTAATCGGACATCGTTGATTTGTTGTACTAAACTTGATTCTGATACCAATACCTGGTACTTTATGACGGGAATATAATTTAAAATGAGGAATATAAAACTTATTTTAGAATGAAATTTATAGACAGTATAAATCAACCTTACTGGAAACACATGTGATTAGTTTTGCCGCCATTTTTAAACCAGGCATGTTTGTGTAACCATAGAGCCAGACATGGCGGTATGCTACTGGTGCTTCAAATGTTTTTTGGTAATGAAATATATATTTATTTATTAAATGAAATGCTCCGAATTCAAAGCAGGGCAAATCAATTACACATATTGAGCAGGCAAGGGTTACAAATTAAATGTGCTTGTTGTCATTTGGCGACAATATATAGCATTTGCGTTTTCCAACATATTTAACAACAAATACGCAATAACAATCGTAAAATAGCGATTAATATTTATAACTGAATGCGCCATCGTCGGCTTTTGCCCGCTGTAAACAGATTTGCCTGTATTTGGGACTGCAGAAACCGTAGATGTATCGGTAGTGGTGGCCATAGGGGTGGTGCTGGTAGTAGTGGTAGTGCTGATAGAAGTTGAAGTCCTGGTAGAAGTTGTACTTGTGGTAGTAGTTGTTGGTAGTGGTATTACATCGTTAACTACGATTTTTGAAATATTGATGTTGCCCACCCAGACATCGTTAGGGATGGTTTGACAAGAAGTTGTTTTATAGCACAAATCTGTTTCAATTCGTAAAACTCCCTAAATAAAAGATTAGATATGCATTAATTACTCGGCCTTAATCTACACATTCGTACTGCTTCCTAAATAAAAGATTAGATATGCATTAATAACTCGCCCTTAATCTACACATTCGTACTGCTTCCTAAATAAAAGATTTAACATTCATTAATTAATCGGTCTTAATCTACAAATTCGTACTACTCCCTAAATAAAAGATTAGATATGCATTAATTACTCGGCCTTAATCTACACATTCGTACTGCTTCCTAAATAAAAGATTAGATATGCATTAATAACTCGCCCTTAATCTACACATTCGTACTGCTTCCTAAATAAAAGATTTAACATTCATTAATTAATCGGTCTTAATCTACAAATTCGTACTACTCCCTAAATAAAAGATTAGATATGCATTAATTACTCGGCCTTAATCTACACATTCGTACTGCTTCCTAAATAAAAGATTAAACATTCATTAATTAATCGGTCTTAATCTACAAATTCGTACAACTCCCAAAATAAAAGATTAGATATGCATTAATAACTCGGCCTTAATCTACACATTCGTACTGCTCCCTAAATAAAAGATGAAACACATGCAATAATTACTCGGTCTTAATCTACAAGTTCGTACAATTCCCTAAGTATAAGGTTAAACATTCATTAATTACTCATTAATCATTAATCACGTAAGATAGTGATCACGTAGCATTAATTGGTGTTGAAACCATCCAATCCTAAAATTCCAGTTTCAACAAGAGATCATCTTATAGGCGAATGAAAATTGCAGTGAGGTATATTGCCATATTATAAATAGTCGCACCTGAAAGTGATTGATTTGGGATGGTCAGGCAGGAGGGAACAATAGGCTGACCCCTTACGTACAGCAACAGTAACTTTCACCAGGTCAGAGGTGTATCCATTTATTACTACAGTATAGCGTGTGCCAATAAGGAAGTAGCCTCTACTAAGAACTGCCTGCGGTTAGAGTTTTTTTATAAGCGTTTAATTCTTACACACTTTTCAGATCCTTTTTCTTATTTTATTTTATCCGAAGTAATACTCGTACTGTATTTGTTTGTATTTTCAGAGTCATGTCCGAGTCATGTCGATTTAACTTGCGTGAGACCATAAACGCAATAACATGGCTTTTGTACACCGAAGTTATAGGCTGTTAGTTCACATGCTCATCTATTTAAATCAATTACCCATTTTCAGTTGTCCTATCAATATAACTCGATCGTCACGACCTTCACTTTTATATTGAAATATCATAGCAAGTGCGGAAGCACCGACTGTTTTGTAATAGTTTTATATTGAAAATATTACTTCATATGCACGAGGGAATCACTTATTAGCAATGTGATATCAGATTGAAGGTGTTGCTCTACTCAATAAGATGGAATTATTGGACGCCAATAAGTTGTATAAAATATCGCTTTTTGTGCTCTTTTTATATTTTGTCAAAGTTGGTAAGTAGAAATAGTTTTTGCTCTATAAAAATCTGATATCTTACTTTAAAAATTAAAATTAATGATAATAAGAAAGATTTAAAATTCTGTTTGAAATGATATTTATTGCTATACTGATAAGTATTTTGTTTATTTTGTTAATGTGATTACATATAGATAATGGTTGAATAAATGTTTAATAATCATAATTTTATTAAAAAATTGATTTTCTTCTAGACTTTAAAGATACATAGATTATTTCATTTACTTTCTTCATTAAAGGGACTAAACTGAGGTTTTTGACATGAAAGGTCTAGAATTTATTATTATTATTATTATTATTATTATTATTATTATTATTATTATTATTATTATTATATTTGAGAAAATTATGTACCGTTTGAAGAAAGAATAAAAAATAATGAGGTACATATATATATTCTAGATAATTTGGTCAGTACGTGTTTTCCAGAGTAACATTTTTTTTTCGAAAAATGGCAAAATGATTTTGAACCTCATTATGAGGCATTAAACTAACAAATAGTTTTTAAATACTATTTTCAGTTTATTTCAAAGGATATTTCTTGATTTCTTGATTACCTTTGCATATATTTCTGTTTAAAGTACCCCAGCTAATTGATGTAAAAAATTCAAATGTTATATATTTAGGCCTTTAAACCTCAGTGGAGTTTCTTTAGAATATAAAATATTAGTAATAATAATAATAAACAATTGAAATTTTAATAAAAATGACGCATGACCGATAAGTGATTTGTTTATCTTATCAGATCGTTTATTTAACATGGGTCATTCAATAACTTATGTCACCTATAGTGTTACGAGCCAGGCGTAACGAGAAAGAAAAGCCAGCAACAAACTTGTAACAATAACAAATTTATTACAGAAAAATTATTAAAGAAAAATAAAATAACAAATAACTTTACAAATACCTGAAGTCCAAATAAAAATTACAAATGTCTAGTCTGATCCTGGAATGATCCTTTTTTAATAGCACAGTTAAATCCAAGTTAAATCCAAGAACACTTTAGAATAAATTCCCACAATAAAATCCACAAGAATAATTAATAATCCAAGCTCCAATAAATCACTTAATTTCCAAGTTGAATAATACTCCAAATATATTGATTTCTAAAAGATCACTGATGACTTAAAAGGTAACTGATGACTTAAAGATAAGATTAATGAAAAATGTCTCCTTATATATATTAACTAAGAAGTTTCCAGAAAGGTCTATTATGTTCTCAAGTAATCATAATCTAGCAACTTCAACAATAAAGATCATTCCAGAAGTTTCTATCTAAATATAATGCATGAGTTTTCTACAACAGTTAAGAACCTTCTAGTACATACATGTAGTTTATGTTCTAAAAATAGAACAATGATAATATTGGAAATACCAACTGGTCAGATATAAATTATATACATGTAATATGTTGCATACATAACACTTCCCCTCTTCAAGAAAAAGAAATATGAATGAAATGAATATTTCTTTTACATAAATTCAAACAATGTAACTTACAAATAACATAGGAGAAATGTAAAACAATTTTATACATTCATATATATGTGTATTACAAACAATAGCAAACAACAACAAAAAATAACCAATCATATCATATAAATGCTATTACAAACAATAGCAAACAACAACAAAAAAAATAATCAATCATATCATATAAATGTTAAATTTAAAATACTGCAAATAACAGTTTTAGACACGTGAAAGTGCATCAGGGATCAAATTATCTTTCCCTTTAATGTGTCTAATGTCAAGACTATATTCTTGCAAAAATAAGCTCCACCTCAACAACCTTTGATTTTTGTTTTTAAGTTTATGCAAGAAAGTGAGGGGGTTGTGATCACTAAAGACAACAACAGGCAACTTTGAAGAAGTTAGATAAATTTCAAAATGCTGAATAGCAAGAATAAGAGCAAGGCACTCTTTCTCTATAGTAGAGTAATTTTTCTGATGTTCATTAAACTTTTTTAGAAAAGTAACAAACAGGATGGTCAACACCATTGTTGTCTTCTTGGATCAATACACTTCCAGCACCTATGTCACTAGCATCTACAGCTAACTTAAAGTTTTTATTAAAATCTGGTGCCAAGAGAACTGGTGCACTCTTAAGTATGGCTTTGGGGGTTGCGTTCATTGAACGCCGCCTTTCCTTGTTGATCTTGTTTATCATATTTTAAGGCTGTCAAATGCCATTTGACACTTGTCATTCCAAATGAATTTGTTTCTTTTCTTTAGCAAATTTGTCAATGGTTCTGCAATAACCGAAAAATTATTACAAAATTTACGATAATACCCTGCCATACCAAGAAATCGCATCAGTTGTCTTTTACAAGTTGGCACAGGAAATTCAGAGATAGCTTTGACCTTAGCTTCTATTGGTTTAACTTTACCCTGTCCCACTACATGTCCTAAAAATGTTAAAATTGCATGACAAAATTCACTTTTTGCAAGGTTAACTGTCAATTTAGCATCACTAAGTCGGTCGAAGAATGCTCGTATAGTTTTGAGATGTTCCTCCCATTCATCAGAATAGATGATTGCGTCATCAATGTATGCGTCACATCCGTGTAGACCAGATATTACCATGTTTATTAGCCTCTGAAAAGTTGCTGGTGAGTTTTTCATACCAAAGGGCATGACTTTATATTGATATAAGCCGTCTGGTGTTACAAAGGCTGATATTTCTTTAGCTCTATCAGTAAGTGGAACTTGCCAGAATCCTTTTAGAAGATCAAACTTTGTTACATACTTTGCTTTTCCAATTTTGTCAATACAGTCATCAATTCTTAGTATAGGAAATGAATCAGTTTTTGTTACAAAATTCACTTTACGATAATCTGTACACATTCTATATGTTCCATTTGATTTCGGTACAAGAATACATGTAGAGTTGTAATTGCTTTGACTTGGTTCAATAAAGTCATTATCCAATAAATACTGAACTTCTTGTCTTAGGTACTTTTGTTTTACAGGATTTGTTCTATATGGATGCTG